TATAGTAGATTATAAAGTATCAGTAGTAAAAACAGTCTACAGCTTCTCTAGAATAAGATTCTTAATAAGAGAGTCAGTTTAATTATAGAAAAAGTAACTCTGATTATTAATCTATTTACAGAATAGAGAATTGAAAAGAATTATTAAAAATAACTATAATAGATAAAGTAACTGTTATAGTATTTAAGAAGAAACTATGTATAATCTGTAAAACTAATTATTCTTTATCTAGAGAGAATGAATTTGACTTCATCTTATAAGAAAAGTGTTGAAAAGACTTAAGAAAAGAGTGAATAAGTATTATTAAACTCACTAAGTAATATATTATAAGCTGAAGATAGAGTGAGATAATCAATCTATTCTTACTATAATATTTTAAATTTATAATGAAGTTACTTAACTTCAGACTATGAGATTAAAAGATCTGAAATATCAGAGTATTTAGATGAAATATTCAAGTTATTAAGATTTAAATAATTCTCATTCTCAATAACTGTTAATTCTTGTTTATTAAGCATATGAAAAGAAATCTGATCAGAGATATCTTTATTTTCAGATAACTGATTTTAAGTCTCTTTATTAATCACAATATTCTGATAACTGAGATAATTTTTATAAAGATAAATTAGTTATTGAGTAATAGCTTCTTTGTAAATTATGAAATCTCAGTGAAACTAATATTATAAGTAAGAATTTATATTTAAATTTAAAGACTTTAATATAATAATATCAAGATTCTTAGAAAGAAGTAAGAGAGTGTTATAAATATAGTCAGTATCTCTAAGAAAGCTAATAATATAATTTTTATACTTATACTGATGTTTTCTGACTTGACAGATCTTAATAAAGATATATATATATAAAATTAATATCTCTTTAATCTGACTGAGAATAGAGAGATCTGAATCAAGATTACTGAAATCAAGATTATTCTCTTAAGAGAATAAAAATAGCTTATTAGATAGTTATCTTAAATTAATAGTATAATAATAAGTATAAATATTATCTTAAAGATTTATTCTAAATTAGTGAATTTAATAATGACTACAGATCTTTATCTGTAAATCTTCAAGTATATAATGAAATTTCTATATATACTGTTAATTATCAGAATTAACAGCTGAATCTATAAGATAAGTAGAACTCTGAGAATTTATTAGAGAATCTAAGATAATTACAGTCTATAACTAATTATATTTCTGAAGAATTATAAGAACTTCTATATTTAATGTATTAATTAAGCTTTTAAGTTATATAGAGTACTGAAATATCAAGAGACTGCTAACTCTTTTATTAAGTTAATTAATAAATGAATCTGCAGAGCTCTGAGAAACAGAACTTTGAGAAGTTAAAAGTAAGAAAAATAATGTAAAAGATGTCTACAGTAGAAGTATATCTATAAAAGTGAAATAAGATTAACTTAAGAATAAGTTGAATAATAATATAGATAATTAATAAAAGACTGAAGAGAGATTTATAGAACTGAGAGATAAATTAATTATTAAAGATAATAATTATAGCTATTTTCTTAATTAAGTTAAGAATGAAGTTAATAAGAGATATTCTCTATAATATCTGATAATATAATAAGTTCTTTAAATAGCAGTTTTCTTTTTATAGATTACTGTTAATAAAGATATATCAGAACTATGAATCTTATAGTGATAAAACTTAATCTCAGATAATATATCTATTTCAATAGATTGTTCACAGACTTGAGAGACTGCTGTTAATTATATAAAGTATTAATATATCTGAGATAATAAGAAGAGTTCAGACTTATTTATTATAGAATCTATAACTATAGAAGAATCTGATTTTACTGTACATATTTATTTATAGTTCTACACAGTGTAAAGAGATAATCAGTAATAGAAAAGATATAATAAGAGAAGATTACAATATCTGAGTTCTCTGAGTGTAGTATTAAAGACAGATAGCTGTAGAAGTAGTAGAATACTGTAAAGAAATAAATTAATCAAGAGACTGATTTTATAAGCAGTGAATGCAGGCTTTTAATATATTATTTATTCTTGAGAATCTATGAGAGATAATTGATCAGATGTGTTATCTATTTAAGAATCTGTACAGAGTAAGTAGTTAATAAGATGTATGATCTATTATTCAAGAATCTGTACAGAGTAGATAATATAATTGATAAGATGAAAGATGAATGTATTATGAGTGTGTAGAAGTTATAGTACAATGTCATGGAATTGCACTTCACTTAATTCTATATCAATCAGTGAGCTGTATTCACATCAAGAACCTCAAAAAGAAAATTCTCCACTTTTAATAACCAGGGTTTTCATCATATATTTGCTTCGCTTCGCTCCGCAAATAAGCATTGGAAATTGTAAAGAAATGTGCATTCTTCTCAACTTTTTAGACTATTAAACATGATATTTTTTTTAGTTTAATAATCATTTCATTTCCTGCCAACAGTCAATTCTCTATCACACTTGATAATAAAGAAATACTATGAGTGTTTAGCAATTTGTGACACTTGCCATGATTGTGTGGAGGCAACCAAGATTAGCAAGTGTGAAGGATATAAGCGGAATTAAAGTTAAGGAGGAATAACTTGACTGATCCTTGATATTTCAATGTCTTCTCATAATAATGAACAAAAGAATGAACGAGCGCATCAGAAAATCATGGAAACTAGGCTTAAGAGAGCATATTAGCTAAAGGCACTATTCTATACCATCATAGTCCTAACAAAGCTAAGAAAGATTCCTAAATTTCCAGATCGCTCGTTGCTGCCGCATTTTCTGGCTCAGGAGAGACATCGATTTTCGGGATGACCAGGGGTGTTGCAGATGTCGGTATAAAATCAGTTTAAAGCTCGTTTCCTGTGGGTGGTTGGCTATACGACGATTCAGTAAACGTAGGTAAGGGGTTTATGTAAAAGCGAGTAGGTATGCCATAAGCAGTTCAAGAGAAATTGCAGATGGAAAAGTTCGCAGATGGGAAGTGTATTGTCCAAGCTATGAACTAATGCCGCTGTTGAAGATTCGTTGTAGTTTCCGAAGGGTTTTCGTACATTTGAAGTCTGGGCAACCGCCCTTGTAGTGCGTTAACGCCCTTTGATATGCACCGAGCGGCAGCATAGAAAGCCGATACTGAGATAGGATAATCTAGCCTTCCAAAACGTAGCAGTATCGCGACTGAGGAAGTGTGATAGTAAGCATAGATCAAATCAACCAAATCAACGCCTCGTCACTCGCGGCAGCAGAACATTGAATCAGTTCGAAGGTGACACTTCCCGCGTGGATCTCAAGTCAAACATGCTTTTCGTTTCGAACGGCTGTCATGCCCATCGTACACGAGGTTTCCTTCTTCACCAACCCTTGCAATTTCCCACCTCTCATGTTCCATTGGCTTCTTTCCAACTCCCAGATGCTGGACTTTCCACCCATGTGTTACTAGTATATCTGCAATCATCCGTCGATGGCATCGCCACCAGAGCGTCTCGCTGCACATAATTGCAAGGCACCCTTGGCCAGAAATTTGCAAGTTCTCTGCGAGGCTTTTTAGCTCGGTCAGACCCTCTTTAAACGACGACGTGCACATGTATCCTGCGTAATTTCGGAACGCGGCGACGCGGATTGTATTGTGTTGATCAAGGTTCGGTTGTTTTGCGTTACGCCGCCCACCCAGTAAAGGTCCAGACCATAAATAGGTGATATGGGCATTGTTTAATTCTGCAGAGTCCTGGAGGGTATCATGATTAAATTGCGGATTTGTGAACGACCGCGGAATAGAGCGAACATCTACAAGCTTGGTGACATGGATGGACTGGAGGAGCCCAATAAGCTCAGGAAGCGTGCGCGTTCCGTGACCAATAGTAAAAATGGGCGGATGGCTTAGTATTGCCTGAGATGGTTGCTTAGAAGCACGGTCCTGCTGAAGCGATTGGAGTCTGCTGCTGCGGCGCACTGTAGAACCCATGTTTTGGTCTGCTAGATGGGCATCATGCCTTTCTTTTGCAGGAGAAGCCCTGCGTTGCGTTGGATTTTTAACCATATTGCCTGACAAGTTTGTGCAGCAATATCTAACTGGTCGGTATCCTATTTCATTCTCGTGCAAATGGAACCATATGACACTAGGGTGGCCGCTAACTACATAGTAGCACGAGGCATTTTAGGGAACTAGAATAAAGGGATAGCTGGGGAAAGTGAGCCTATGATAGACTGTAAAGACCTACATTTACGGCCTTTTGAGGCAACCAGTGACGGCATAAACCTGTCTCGTAACTTTCATTACAAACTTAACACAAGACAACTCACGGCATCCCGAGTATGCCGATTTATGACGCTAGAACGCATTGGGGTTAGTTACCGAGAGGATTGGTCGTTAAGATAAGGTTTACAACAAGGTTGGCTGCAACCCATGGGTCTGAAAATCCACTAGGCCATAAAAGGGAATATCTGGCTGCCCCGGACACCCTTGCCAGCACCTGCCCACCTGGGCAGGGCAGGCTTCGGCCTCATGTCAAGACATATATTATTGGGGCCTTGCCTAGCTGGTGACTCTTTCCAACGTAATGGGGATTTTAATTATATCCATTCCTTTTCTCCTTCCTTTATCCGCCTTCTTCACCCCTTTTTTTGTGTGATACCAGGCGAGCAGTTTATTTTCGAGAAAGCTAGGTGTTCTCCCTGATTTCATTGGATATGCCCAGCACCATGTTGGCAGATTTTGGATCATGGTACGATTGTGCCTAGCAATGTTGGGCTGTGGAATCTAGTTCTTGGTCCGTTAGTCTTCTGGCGGCGATGGTGCCTCCTGCGTTCAACTCTCTAGACAAGGACCATTACGTTTGTCTCTTGCTTGATGCTGTGCCAAATGAACAAGACCAACCAGAGCCACTGTGGACTCATCCTATCGTGATAATCCTCCTTTTGAGAATAGCAAGATGATCTTTAAGCCAGCTGAATGCTAGAAGGGAAGATAGTTGCGAATGTAATGTACATGTACATGTACAGAGTACATAGTTAACTGATGTAAAGTGCCCTGTCCTATGGGAAGATATTATTCACTGTGCAAACCTGAGCGTGTCATACTGTTTCTTTCACTAGAGCGCAATTCCAACCTATTCACTGTTGAGCATTACGGACCATTAAAGCTGCCTGTATGACCCATACGATGTATGGAAATGTGCATGTGCCTTCAGTTAACCTTTCAAGCGAAAATGTTGGAAGGTCCGACTGTCATTCATTTTGGAAATAACACGTATATCTAAAAGAAACGGCAGGGTTGAAAGCAGGAGCACAAAATCTCTGGTGCAAGTAGACGCATATATCGAGTAGGTCTTTTTTGATATTGGTTTTTGATGGCGTCCAAAATAGGAGGTACGTAGATATGTACATGTACATCACGTCGTGTGTAGGATGTTTTGCACAGATTCGCATATATTGTAGGGGACAGAAAAGGAAGAGGAAAAATATGACGAAAAAAAAACACAGTACGCCAAAAGGAAGCTGAGTTGTACGTATACACTGATGGCGAGGGCAGAGCCAGCGACAATGAACTGTGAAGGAACCCTTTTATAGAGCACCCAGCTCTTTCAATTTGGCAATCATTCCATCGACATCTTCTACCTTGCCACCTCCTTGCCTGGCCGGGGGTTCTATTGAAGATAAGTTAGTTGTATCCAGCAGGGAACTAAATACCCTCAATAAACTGAAGAGAGAAAACCATAGAAGCTAGACATACCCGTAACCTTCAAAGTCTTCAACCTCTTTGTATCCTCAACCCCAAGTTCTGCCAAAGTCCTCTTCTCCAACGGCTTCCGCTTCGCTTTCATAAGGTTCGGCAAACTGGCATAGCGTGGCTCATTTAACCGCAGATCCGTAGTAATCACCATGGGCAACTTGGCCTTGAGCGTCTCCACGCCGCCGTCCACCTCCCGAGTGACCTCCACAGTGCCCGCATCGTCTTTTATATCAACCTTACTCGCCTGTGTCGCCTGTGACCAGCCCAGGAGACCAGCCAGCATTTGGCCCGTTTGTCCCTGATCACCATCAATAGCCTGTTTGCCTAGTAGCACTAGATTGATATTTTCCTTCTGGACTACGCTCTTCAGCATCTTGGCCACGGTCAATGGTTCCAAGCCTGCCTGGTCTGCTTTCTCGGGTACATCGACAATGATTGATCGATCAGCTCCCATGGCCATGGCGGTGCGGAGGGTGTCTGCGCACTTAGGGCCACCGGCGGAGATAGCTAGGATGTCGGAGACGGTCATAGGGCCCTTGCGTTCGCGTAGGCGGACGGCTTCTTCTATGGAGAGCTCATCGAATGGGTTGAGGGAGTGCTTGACGCCGGCAGTTTCGACGCCTGTTTGGGTTTTGTTGATACGGGGTTTTATCTGCGTATGTTAATTTATGGCGAGTTAATGGAACGGCCGGCATAGATCGGTGCTTATGGGATGCGGGTAAGGCAGACAGCAGCTCAATTCGGGCTATACAGGCAACAGGAACACATTGAAAAAAGGGAAAGATTCTCCCCAATTGTAATGTAGTGCGAGCACTGAGAACGGACTGGGAGGAGGTAAAACCACGTACGGCGAAGTCGATGACCCGTTTTACGGGCACCAGTATCCTGAGAGCATTCGCAGCCATTGTTGGAAATCGGAGAGTACACTGGCAGCTCGGAGGCCCTTACTTGTCGATACAGTGGCCGTTGTGAATTTGACCCGGGGTACAACAGCTGAGTGGTGGTGGTGGTGGTGATGTGTCGGTTTTTGGGGAGTGTACAACGGCTTGAAAACGTCGATGTTGTCGGCGTTGCTGAACTTCCGAATCTACCCTCACTCAGATCGCCGGATTCGGCAACCGAGGTTTGCCGGAACCCTGACTCACGTGACATATGTCCCGCCTGTACACGGAACAAAACTTTTCTCATCATGCTCAACCTCTCTTGATATTTTCAGAGTAGTGTGAGTAACTAAACTTCTTTGGACTTCTGTCAAGTTCTGCTAATTTCCGAATCAATCAGGTTTCTCAGAAACAGGATAATGTAAAACACGGTCTATGTGATTGCATGGCATGGCATTATCTAGTATGAATCGGTTATATTTCTCTCACCTCAGTTTAACCAGCTACACTTCACCAAGTCTCTTGCTTATACCGCCCCACTTTCTCCATATCCATCAAATACTTCTCTGCCTCCTCTCGACTATACCTCTGCCTTTCACCGGACTCACTTTCTTTCTTCCCGAACTCTTGGAAGCCTTCAATAAGCGCCTCCCTAATCGCCTGAGGCATTTTACCTGACGACCCACAAATATAGACAGTGCCATTCAGATCATGTAATACTCTAAAAAACAACGCGGCATGCTCGCGGATGCGGTCCTGCACGTATATCTTCTGTTTCTGATCTCTTGAGAACGCCGTTAATATCGTGATATCGAGCACCTTGTTCAACTCATCCCATTCATCCTCGAAAAAGAAATCTGCTCTTCTATTCCGCCCGCCATACAGCAGGATAATAGGACCAAAAAGCATCGGTACGTCAGGGCCATGCTTTTGTCGAAATGTAGTCGCCATGGCAGCCTTTTCCCATAACATAGAGCGAAGTGGTGCGACTCCTGTGCCAGGCCCGATCAGTACTGTAGGCTCCAAGAGCTGTCGCATTGAGGAATTGAGTCCGCCTTTTTGCACTTGGACTTTCAATGTGCTCCCTGGGCGAAGCACTGCAAGGTAGCGCGTACATATACCCTCACGAATCTTTTTAATTACTGTTTGGTATTTGACGATGGCGACCAGGAGATCAAAGCGAGTGCCAGAACTTGTAACATGGCTACCAGGTAAACTTTCGGTGGTTTTCAGTTTCCCACCGCTGGCAAGACTGAATTGCCGTCCGCGAAGGACGGGGAACACGGCACAAACGTGTTGCCAAGGGATCTTCACGGATTCAAACTCATACAAGACTTCGAGGATTGACCGACGGGGTCGCGAGGTGTAGTCGTAGAACTCGTCTATGTATTCTGGATCAGTAAACTCCAAGAGTCGCTCTTTATGCATAGGGTCCTCAGTGTAGTGAGCAATGTTGGAAAAGAAGGATCGTCGTGGTATGGCCATTATATCTAAATAGTCAGTGAGTAGGTTTCTGAGGGTGAAGCCGGGCGAATTCAACAGAAATGGGATCTCGGGAGAAGATAAGTTCTTGGCTGACACATATTTAGGATTGGGAATAAAACGTAAAGGTATGTCGGCGTCGTTCTCCCAGCCCATCGTTGTTATTAGTGAGTTTACATCGCCAGCGAAATTCCGAGGAGTTATTTGTAGGATATCGCCTGGGACGTATCGAATTGACTCGGGAATCTTGAGAATAATGTGGCGGACATCTTGCCAATGGGTCTGCGGTGTGAGTCGATCGTTCGCGACTAATGTCGCGGAGACAGTATTCGGAATGGGTCGCAGGTCATGAGAAAAATTCGAAGGGATGCTGCCATTTTCTAGTTGTTCCCCAGATTGCACTTTTGGCAGTGCTATACCCGGATACGTAGTGGTGCTTTCGACTGGGCTATATTCCCGGCGCGCGAGCACCCATTTTGGTGGTAACTGAACGTCATCTGAGATCGGGTGTTGGTCAGGCGCAAGCGGGAATTTGTCCAATAAATGCTTTCGTAGGTCCAGCGACCACGGGACGAAGGTGCCTTCGAGACTAAGATTGCAGTGTCAGTATGGGCAAGCCGAAATTAATGGTACTCATAGAATGCATACCCTTCCGGATGTTGCTCATCTGCTTCGCCGCATGGGTACAGCTCGTTTGCACCAAGCTGCAATAATCTCTTGTAAAGCTTCCGAGATGCCCAGTTGAACCTAAGGTCCCATACCGGAATTCGTTAATAATTTGATACGTAAATAATGAGAAAATTGCAACCTTACTTTGGGTACGAACTATCCCCCAATCCAAAGAGCGCGAAGTTCACACCCTGGAGAAATGTTGGCGGAAGCTTCTTCAGCAGCAATGACTTCCAGAAAATCCGAGCGTTGGAAGGGAAATCGCCCTGTCCAGTCGTCGAGACCGCGAATATCGTCACGTCATAGTCATTTAGAGATTCCTACATCAAGTGTGAGCTTCAATTCCCCTAAATTCTGGTATGCGCCCTTATCGCACCGCTTTAATGGCGTTCAGCTCGCAAACATGCGCTGAGAAGTGCAACCTCTCTGCGAGGCGCCCAAGCTCATCAGCAACATCCTGGGAGTTTCCAGTTTCTGAACCGTAAAGAATTATAGCAGTTCTACCGGATGCGTGTTCCGTGTTGTTGGAGTCGGCGTTGGCCATTGATTCTACATCGCGGGGTCGATCTGATAAAGGATTTGAGATGTTGGGGATTCTACGCGCCCAAAAAAAAAAAAACCAAATTAGGTTAGGGTTGATTATGAGGTCATCGAACAAAACACCACTTTTTCGTCTTGTCGATGGCATGATACGAACTAACGGGAGAAAGTATAGCCAAAAGTTTTTATATTTCCTCATTAAATCTTTTTGGCTCATTCATTCAGATCTATGCCCTCATATTAGGCGCGAATTTACCAAATAAGTGGCAAGTGGGCCAGTAAGAAGTGTCTACCTACCTGTAGGGGTCATATATTGTACCCCTAGAGGCATGTTTTTAACCTTTACCTTGCGGTGATTATGCTGAAGGACAAGTTGTGGCAGTGCTAAGAAGTCATATAGCTAATACATTAAAGTTCAAATATGCTGCATACCGAATATGGTTTGTGGAAAACGCCAGGCCTAAGCGTAGACTTGGAATCTCCCAAAATAGTGTCATGAACATTTTGTTATGATCGAGCCCGGCTATCCCATCTGATATACACTACTGTACATATCTGGCTATATTCCATGAAAAGAAAAGAAAAACGGGTATCATATATGAAGAAAATTGAAAGAAACGAGATAAACGAGATAAATAGAGGAGAATCATCATCCATAGTAAAAAATGAGAAAAACAGCACTCATTAATACGTATCATTATCCCCCTCTCCACCTCCATCATATCCATCTCCGTCATCATCCCCACCATCGAAATACTGTTCTGCGTTATAATCTCCGCCCATATCCTCCTCATCATCTTCGAAATCATCATCCACAATTTCCTCCTCTCCCCCATCTTCATCCTCATCCAACAAGTCCTCATCCTCCGCTCCAGCTCCCCGCTTTCGTTTCTCGCCAACCTCTGATCCTTCTTCATCCTCTTCTCCATCAGCTGCTATTCTCTTCCGAGACGGACCGACATCTTCATCCTCCTCGTCATCCTCAAAGCCACGCTTCTGGCCGCCTCGTAAAAGCGAACCAAACCCATTGGCACCACCAGCTTGCAAACCGACATATTTGGGGTCAAGGGTCGACCAGAGCTCTTTTGGAAAAAAGTTCATAACTGTAAAAGCAAAGGCACGATGCATCGGGGCTCACATTAGTCTGGGAAATAAAAGCTAGCCAAGTAAGGAAATAAGTAAGATAAAGGGAGGCCCAAGAGGCCTAGGTTCGTACGGAAGGGGGGGGGGGGGAAGCAGAATGGCAAATAAAAGATATACATACCATAGGGCCTTCCTGAAAGTTTTGGCAATGTCCTAGTTTTCTTCAAATATCTCTGTCCGTATGTCGCCATGCCTTGAAATGGATCAAACTGAGCTTTTCGAGCAGCCACCGCGCCTCCCTTTTGTGATGACGGCGGCGTGCTCAACACTGTATAATAGGGTCCATCATGTATCATCTGCCGCAACTGCCTGTAGTAGTCGACCTGGCTGCGCTCCTCCTCCGTAAGCGATTTTGCAATGGGTACTGAGTATTTCTGAAATGAAGTGTTAGCCGCGCGCATACCTCTCCTTTACTTCATATTCGGTCGTAAAGAATCAAGATTGGGAAGAATGATGCTAGCAAAGAGAAGGTTTAAAAGAGTAACAATGGGAGAGCCTCATTTATAGCTCACCGGAAATAATGGCGTAGGTGCGTTATCTGGTTCTCCCCCACCCTCTGTATCCCACGAGAACTCAGCACCAGGCAGCTTTCTGCCCCGGTTTGCACCAAAGCGTGACATATTTCTTTCTCCTCTCTTTCAGCTTTCTCGATTTCCAAAAGACGGAGATTGAAGGAATGATTCATATAGTAATATTATAGTCCAAAAGAAAGGCTTATGGAGTGGAGTAAAAATAACATATATTATCTCTGGCACAAGTCAGTTTAAATGCTGCTTTTGACAGACTTTGGCTTTGGTTGGCAATTCGTACTTTTCCCTCTAAGATGGGTCACGTCAGAAAAATAAATATACTGCCGAATCTGACCGCTTTTCAATTCGGGCGAACTCAACCACGTTTATTTTAGCCTGTCAATATTACCTTAGCGGGGCCGATCATCAGCTAGGCGCCAAGGGATATATATATATCTAGACGACAGGAGCCAGACGCTTGTCATTATTAAGAGAGATATGTTTTAGACATTACATCCTTGAATTATTTTGCAACACTGTGGAATTTCAGTTCTGGTACGGCGTAGTTATCATTATTAAGATACATAATGTTGATCCCATACCCTGCATTTTCACCAAGCAGTCAATAAATCAATAATTAAGCACGTCATCATAGCTAGACTTCATCAACTGAATATGTTCATCGGCAAGAAAAGACCAACGACTGTCCTACGTTTACATGTTTTGACTTTCTGGAGAGCTCATATGGGTACTTGACAAAGCCATAAATGCATAACTATCATTAGGGCACGCGAATGACTAAATTGATCACAGCTCCAGCGCATCTACCCGACTACCAACTTGGCTCGAAGGACCCCATGGACCATCTGCAACCCGCTTATTAAGTGTTCGGATAATATCGTCAAACCCTTCAAAACCCCCATCAACCTTCTTCACTTCCGTCTGTAATGCAACAAGCGCATCAAACTTAGCCGTTGCAATTCTCCAGACAGCACTCTCCGTGTCCGCTGCCCCACCGGCGACAAAGTTATTGTACGTCTGTGGGGCTTTGAAAAGGTAGGGTAGGACCTCCGTTAAGGCGGGAGGTACGAAAAGTGCCCACAAACCGGACCTTGGAAGCTTGCCTTGTGTTGACGGGCCAAGTCGAGAAATCTGATCCTCTGTGGGTAGGCCAAATCGGCGGTTAGTGAGGGTCGTTGAGTTACTACCACTTGGCGGAATCACAGCCCAGTGTGCTGTCAGGACGGATTTTATAAACGCGATGGCTGCAAGGGCTGTGTCCTGCATGGCAAGGACATCAGCAGCAACAACAACATTCGCCCATAAATCCGGATGCTCATTCAAATACCGAAGATATAGGACACGAGAAGCTGCAGCTTCTGCTCGGGGACTTGTTGGATTTTGATCCAGTGGGTCTGAGAGCCCATTGGAGTCGTTGTCAAGAGTTGGCGGTCCCTTAAATATTCGACCCAGAGCATCCAGGGCATGACTGTTTACAGGCTTCGAAGGTATCGACTGCACCGGGTTGATCCATCTGTTTCCTGCTTCTACAAGCATCACTCGGGGTAAAGAGGCAAGAATGTCAAGATCGCCAGTCGGAACTGGGCCGTGAGCCCATTTAACAGGTTGAATGTCCAAAGCCTCCGAGATCCGTGAAAGAATCGAATCCAGAAAGGCCTGAGGCTGCTGGAGTATATGATTTGGGTATAGTATCGCATACTGAGATATATAGCCCATAACCGGCCCAGAGAGAATCGGTGCGTACGCTGGGTCAAGGATCGAAGGGTCCAAATAGTAACTCATTATTTTGGCGTGGAGGCCACTAGAGGTAAGGTATTCAAGGGAAGGAGAAGAAAATAGAGGATACGAATGACTCTGGACTTTAGCACGTTGGCGGAGTCCTGGAGCTCCAATTCGAAGGAGCTCACAGAGGAAATGGATATGTGTCATATGCAATAGTACATCGTCTGGATCAACCATTTGGGAGGCCGCAAAACTCAATAAGCTGGAACTTCGAAATTTGGATTCGATGTCGGGGAAATGTGATGTCGCTATCGCCTGCCAATCCAGCGATCCAGCCTTAATAATTAAATCCATTAGCCTGCCTTGGGCTACAGACTTGTCTCGCCTGCTGATATGTCCTGGTGGCTCCGTGCTCTCAAGGCTGCATATGGAGAAAAGGCGTTCGTAGACGTCTCTATCATTGAATATTCTCCTCCACATTAGCCCCTGGCCTCCGATCTTGTTTTTCTTCTCCCCATCTACTAAGGCGTCGCTTTCGTAGTCGTGGGCATAATCGACTTCTAGGAGAGCCCATAGAACATCAAATGCAGCTTGTGACACCGCAGTTTCGGAGACCGTAAGCCAAAGTTCTACTAGGGCAATCACGAGAGGAGGGTTTCCAGAGATAATCGCTGCATCAGCACTTGAATGACTGGCCTGTCCTAGGAGTGACAAGGCCAGGAGGTTCACTGGCGGAGATGGGGCACTGATTCCAGCGAGCAAATTTAGAGGAGGGTCAATGGACTGGAGCTGGGTGAAAGTTAGATATGAAGCAGCTTTGGTAGCTAAACTTGTTAAAGGAGACGGATCGTCCTGCAATATAGGGAGAATCTGCGAAACTTGGGTGAGAATAGCTGACAAAACGTCCTGGTTGGTATTGGTGAGGAGTTCGACCTTTAGCTTGCCCAGGGTGGCGACATCAAGAGGGATAGACGGATCCTGGATGACCGTGTCGAGGTGGTCCTTCACAGCGTTGAAAGAGGGAGGAGTCTCCATGTCTTCTTGTCGCCCTCGTGCAAAGACATCTAGGGAGAGACCTATTGCTCGATCGTTGCGAAAGATGTTGTTCGATCATGGGTATGGATCTGGGACAGCGATTGCCCCACATGCAAATTGACCAAACACAGCAAACAGAACAAACAGGCTCTTCAACTTACTAGAGTTCAGCGTCCAAGTTCTATACAGAACCACAGCACTGAACAAGCACTACCTAGGAACTGAGGATATATCCACAACTACAGACTGTATTTACTTCTCTTTTTCAGTTGGAGTGCGGCTCAACAGCAGCTTCCGAACCATGGGAAAGGTTAACCCCCTAATTTCGCTAAAATCTTCCGACTCGGGCCTCCAAATCCTACTCCATCCACTCGTCCTCCTTAATATATCAGATCATGTCACCCGACACATTGCAAGGCAGCAAAAGGGACCAATTGCCGGGGCGCTAATAGGACAGCAAAAGGGTCGAACTATTAGCCTCGAGCATGTGTTTGAATGCAATATTGTAACCACTTCTAATGGAGACAGTGTACTACATGAGCCCTGGTTTGAAGAGAGACTACAGCAATGTCCGGACCACTCTGCTCTTAATCGTTTCTCAATAGGTGACACTAACCAGTATATCTTTCTTTGTAGTTAGAGACGTTCATAAAGATCCGCCGTTGGACCTTGTTGGCTGGTTCACCCTCACGCCACCCACAGGTCCTACTGCTACCCAACTACCGATTCACCAACACATTCTCCAGAAATATAACGAAACAGCAGTGCTGCTTGCGTTTGATCCTTCCGGGCTTGAAGATAACACTTCTCATGCTACAGGGAAGCTTCCTCTTGCAATTTACGAATCGACATACGAGGAGGACAATAATGCGGGCGATGCAGACAAAACCATGCAGCTGGATGGGCAGCAGCCCAGCTTAGCACTCCGGTTTCGAGAATTACCGTATGCTATCGAAACGGGGGAAGCAGAAATGATCAGCGTCGATTTTGTTGCAAGAGGAGGAGGCAATGCTACGGCTATTCAGGCGAGCGATGCAACCCCAAAACCCTCCGCCGGTAGCACTAAGAAACCCGCCGCCGGCAAGAAGGCCGGAGCTACATCGACACCCCTAGAGAAGACTTCCGTTGTGGATGAAGTCTCCCCACTTTCTAAGGAAGATGAAGACCGTAAGTGGACAAATTTAACAAATACCGACAAATGCCAGTAGTACCCATTAACCAATTTTATCATAGTAATCGCCAATCTAAACACTCGTCTAACCGCCGTCAAAACGCTCGAGTCACGCCTACACCTCATAAAAGCCTATCTCTCCAGTATCTCTCAACAGACTCCAGATAACCAGACTCAATCAACAGCCGCCTCTTCTCCGCAGATCTCGCACTCCCTACTGCGCAACATCCACTCCTTGATTTCCCACCTATCCCTCCTAACGCCGCAACAATCAGATACATTCTCCACCGAATCTCTTGCACAAGCTAACGACGTTGCCTTAGTCGCGTTGCTCGGTCAACTAGGCCAGAGCGTGCAGGACATTCGCGAGCTAGGCAAAAAGTTTGCGGTTGTTGATATGGCTCGGCAATATGCTGAGTCGACGAAGGCAATGGGTGGTAAGCATACGAGAATGGATGATGAGATGTACCTTCGATAGGCAATTGGTTGAATATAATGCACTTTTTGTGGATATATGCATGTCACATACATGCGATGCTTTGACAGGTTGCTTTGATGGCGACGGAATGCCCATTTGGCCTCTTTGCTTTGCATGTCTTGTTTTATTCGTCGAACTCCAACAGCGAGTTATGTGCCCAGTTTACGTGTCCATGATAATATCTAGATGTTTTAGGAACAAAATATCAATCATGCAACGATCTCCTCTGAGTGAGTGGTTATTAAGTGCGGTGGTCGCTTCGTTCGAATCATCTCAAGATCTAGAGAAGCAGGCGATATTACGGAAGGTCAAGTCAAACTCCAAACTCAACCAATAATGATCAGAAATTTACACCCAATTTGTTCGATATATGCTATCTCCATTGCATTTTCGTTCAGCCTTATGAAGGAAAGGAGGAAAAAGACGCAAAACCAAACGCCACGGTACACAGACAAATAGAAAGAAAAGAAAATCCGCATTCCTGCCTACTGAATTTTTTCATTTTCCCATGGTGAATCTCTGAATCTCGCCAGCTTGAAGGATGGTCGGAAGGATCAAAAATGAGGCAAAGGAATCAAGATCACGGGCCACATTAAAAAAATTAAAAAAAAAGAGAGAGAGAGAGAATAATATACAAAAGGAAGTAGAAGTGCCTCATACAAGTGTGGGGTGACAGAATATGTTAGAATGAATGTCCCTTTTTATGCATGGCAAAAATATTACGGAAAGGGAAAATAAAAAAACAAAATACCAATGCTCCTTCCTATAGCCATGATCCAAGCCAATCCATATCTAGTTGCGGTCGAAAGAGACGGAGGGAACATAGATAACAACTTTGGGGGAAGTGGAATAGAGGGAAAATCAACCACGATATTCCGCAGGGAGTGAGCATCTCACGAATGAAAACGCGCTAGAGCCTAGATGGGAAAATAAATGGTCAAACGGGCGCGCACTGATCCATTATTTTTGGTCAAAAATTCTTTCCTTCACTTGCGGCCAATCACCCATCTACCGCCTCCAACTATCTCCAAAGTCTCCACGGTCTCTGAACCGGGCACCTCTACCACCTCTCCGGCGCCCACGGTTTCCATATTCCGGACCCTTGTCCACGAAATAATCCGTATCTTCGAAGGTGTATTTGCGCATCTCATCGCCTCCTCGTCGAGGCGTAGGTCCAGCGCGGTAGAGGTCGGCAAATCGATCAAGGCGCTTATCCGATACCTCTGGCGGAACAGGTTGATAGTAGAGTTTCGGCTTCGCGGCTGTGGAGAGAAATCTGTCATCAAGGGCCTTGAAGCTTTCACCGGCGTATCGTGCAGGTGCAACAGGTGGTGCAATATGGTGGCTGTCTCGATGCATAGGACCGTGCGTTGCACGGGGACCCAACGGCGGCTCTCGACCTAGGTTTTGATCGTTATCGCGATTGTTGCGGGAAGGGATTTGGTTTATGGGACTGGCTTCCTGAAGGGAAGCTGTAACCCCTTCATCGGTCTCATCATAGATCACCTCCCACCGTGGCGCACCTCTCGCGCCATTACCGGAATCTTGCTCAACGGTGATCCATTCTTTGACTTTCTCTTCCGGGATGAAATCGACCCAGAGCGGTTTTCGCGTTCGCTCGTCTGGCCAAATAGTTCCGTGGAGTGCCGAACGTACCCTAGAGGCTGCGGAAACATTTGTAAAAGTAACAAAAGAATGTGTTTTAATGGAATCCAAAAAGAAAGCTAGGATTATATCAGGATCCACAGATGACGAGGGTGGGGTTGCAAGGGTTGCAAGGTGCTTTTTAAGGCTGGTTGGTTGTAGAGGTCGCATGAAATTGCGTATATACAGGGATGTGGTTGCCGGGTGAATGGCTGGTGAGACGATGCGATCTGCCTCCTCACCTGCCAAGCCCGTAGGAGAAGGGGAGAGTGCCCGGCCACCATTTGCCAGAGGGAACAAGCTTTTGAAGCGTGTATCGCCGGAGGTGTGCTTGTGGGTGTGTAGCTCTTCGGGCTTCTCGACTTCTGGTTTAGCCTGGGGTGCCGAATGGAGGTCAGCAGCCTTATTATCTTCCTCGCTTGCCTCCAGGACGACCGTAGGTTTGGGTTGGAGTGTTGGTTCCGGTTCCGGTTCCATCTCCCGGGGCCCTTCTTCAGTCTTTTCTAGGGTCGTATCTTGCATTTCGGCGTCTTGAGGTGCAGGAACACCGGGAACTGGTGCTGCTAAAATCTCCTCCGAGGGAACACCCATATCAGCTGTGACATCGTCCTCCTTCAATACCACACGCGGAAGCCCATCCTCAGCTTTAGCCTTCTTCAAAGCCGCTGTTTTAGGAGAGGGTGGTGGGCTCTGGCTTCGCCGTTTTCTTTTTCTGGAGTCATCTGTGGACTCCTCTCTCGACGCGATTCTCTCATCGTCGGGGGATACGGATGCTGATTCCAGTTCTTGAGGAGCAGAGGGGGCAGATGGGGCTGGTTCCTCTATAGCCTCCTGCGACTGTACCGACTCTTCTATCTTGGGTTCCTGAGTTTGCTCCTTCGCTTCGGCGGACAAGTCTCGAGTAGTCGCCACAGCTTGATCGGCTTCTGCGTCCTCCTTATCTTTCATAATGACATCATCAGTCGAATCCTGCGACGGCGGTTTCGGTAACTTTGCGGCAGGTAGTTCTTTCGATTCAGATTCAACAGCGCCATGTTTCGGTTCTGGCGCACCAGGCGGCTGTTGGTCGCCAGCGCTCACATCTTCTTGGCTTGCCTGTTCAGGTTCTTCCGGGGCCTGTTCTTCAGGTGCATTGCTTGGTGGGGGAACTTCCGGTGAAGGTTCAGGTTGCGCCGCAGCATCTGACTGGAGTAATCGATCGATGAAGTTCTGCTTGACCCTAAGACCAGTCTGGGGAATGCCGCGTCGTTTCAGCTCGGCCTTCAAATCGGTAACCTTCCAGCTTGAATATTCAGTCATTGCGAGGAGTAGCGAAAGGGAGGCGATGTGGAAATTGCGTAGAAGTAAAGGTATATAAATGTTTCGCATATTAATACGTGGAACAGTGAACAGTCAACGGGTCATGGCTGGTGACTGTCGGGCATGCAGCGCGTGTTGCAGCGATAAGTTTGCTTTGGTGACGATGGCAAGATGAATGTTAAGGTCGGAGAAATTTACTTGAAGAGGCCAAGCGAGAATTAAATGATGACGTAATCAACACAGACGTGACGCTAGGACTAATTTAGGAATAGCGGCATATGTCCAGCCATGTCACTTTGATGCGACAGCCACGTCCGTTTAACGACAACGCCAGGAACCAAACCAGGATAAAAGAAAGAATTTCATTCATGCTTCGTATATTACAGGATATTTGATTGGATCTAGGCTCTAGGAAGGGACTCCATAAACTTTTTCGGCAAACAGAAAAGTGCCGGCGCTCATCATTATTCGCTCAATTGAAAAACAAAGAAGCAAATCATAATCGCGAGCCAAAGAAAGTTCACGATGATGACGTTTCATGAGACTGTGCTATCACAGAGTTGACAGAGACGCTCAAAGGGAAAATGGTTCCGTTGGTCTTGAAAGCGCAACCCAGCCCAGCAATCATACTGATTCAGGAGGATGAACGCTGGAAGCGGGGAGGCAGGCAGTTGATTGATTTGTTCAAATACGGACGGTTTCGGTTGCTTGGCAATTCCATTGGCATCGTGGCCGGTTTCGGTTTTACTGGGATCGTGTTGGACGAATTGGAGCCTGTTGCTTCTCCGCTACTTGGACTCCAAACCGCAAGGTCGATTTGTTGGCTCTTGACGGCGGCTTTTCCTGGATTCTTTCGCGATTTCGGTAGGAATCAGTCCAGGTCTTCGGGCCATTTCGTTCCTTTATGACGCTCTCAGGTTCCTACATCTTGCTACTTTTCGCCTTGTTCTTTTTCCTCGTCGCTAAGCTCCGGTGAAAGCCAAAACTCGGCTTCAGTACATTTTGGCAGTGGTATGAGCTCTCGCCCTGTCCGACCAACTATCAACGCTTCCTCTTCCGGAGATAGGGAAATATCGCTTGGTAGGAGAGCTGATCGTCTTCGTCTATAGGAACTCGACTTTTCAAGTTATAATAGAAGGTAAGGAGAATATGCATGCTGAGGAAAATTACTCCCGAACGAGAAATATCTAATCATTCCAATACCTTCGTGAGTTATATTCCCTTATATTCGGTTCCCGACCAGCAAGACCCAACCCAAAATAAATGAAGAGCAAATGAGGTCGTTGCACCTCGCGTCATAGAATATTCTACGGGTCGGCAAACCGGGCGAAAATTAATTGACGGGCAAAGCATCAAGGTTACTAGAAGTAGGTTTTCCCTGGCAACATGGAAGCGGCAAATAAAGAACAAAGTTATTCCAAACAAAACGTTTAAAGCTATTATAGGAACAATAGAACTGCTCCCGCGTCAGCTGCTGCAAGCAAGCTACATTTGATCTGAATGGAAAAATGTGAAACCTCAATGAGATATGAGATGCAGAAATATAGTTAGCTTATTTACACATGAGATCAGCCAAGTCAAGTATAAAGAGATCTTGAAGGATTTTCTTTTCCTTTTTTTTTTTTTTTTTTTGTTTTAACCCAGCGGCAAATTTCCTTTTTTTTTTTCCCGCTGTCCTAGATATTATCTCCGGATGCCATGCGGCGGGCGGTGTAGGCATGGTAGTTCTTCTTCCATTTACTATGTAAAATTAGGACAAATATACACAGTAGGTGGCAGTTGAGGGGTGACTCTATTCAATTAGTTATCATTTCCGAAATGACACTATCAATTCAGTTCTAGAAGAATTTAATCTAGGCCATCCATGCGCTACAGCTGAGATCGTCCCATGTTTTCTTGGTTGACTTCCCGTTCCTCCGTCGAAACTTGCCCACCATAGACGGTGTCTCTGTGTAGGTATGTACCTATCTTTCTTCAAGTCATATATTTTCATTTAAGTTATTCAGTGATTACTAGAGTAGATATTCCGAATTTATAGATTTTTGATCATGATCAGCCTCTATAGGAGTGTAATGCCGCATTAGTTGGGAAAAGCCCTATCTATAGTCTATGCCTGTGTATGTTGAAGAATCATACTTAGCAACCTTTCCTGAACAATCAGGTTTCGTGCAAAATTTGTGGCCCGGCTGAGATAAACGACCTCCACGGCGGAAGAAAGACGCAGACAGCACATTCGAACTCCTAACTGTCAAATTTTAAACATCCAAATAACGTAGTAGATACTATTATGTGCGGCTAGCCATGACGTCCGAACAAACATATTTCAGGGTGGGCTTGGTTCAAATGTACCCCAAGGTAATGAGCGGATGAACGGATAATCAAGTTTAACCAGTTCCCATTCTTACAACTGGCAAAACATATACTTACCAGCATTTTCCATATTTAGCCCCTCGACCCAGCATATAATTTCAGCGTGGCAGTCGCTCATATCCAAGATGCAGCATCTCAAGGCGCCTCTCTTGTTGTCTTGCCAGAGTACCACCTAACCAGCTGGGTGCCCGATGATCCCAAGTTTGCCCCCCTTGCTTCAAAAGCGTGGGATTACATCCTTAAATACCAGGTGGTTGCAAAAGAGTTGAGCATCAACATTGTCCCTGGAACAATCGTCACGACAGACCCAAACTCAACCTCTCACCCAAAAGAGGCACAGGAAATACCGAAACCTTATGTAGATGACTTCGCTGCCCCGGAAGGAGGGAGCGCGAGCGGCCCGTTACTATTCAACGTTGCGCCTTTCATATCTCACACCGGCGAATTGCTGGGGTTATATACGAAGACAAACCTATGGCTGCCAGAGCGCGAATATCTGACCGCCCATCCCCCCGTCTCCCCCCCTGCCGGACCTCACACTACAACTGGCACGAGGCCAGCAGCTCGTGAGCCGCACAACAGCAGCAGCAGCCGCCACAGTGTCATCCAAACACCCTTGGGCCCAGTGGGGATTTTGACATGTTGGGATCTAGCATTCCCGGAAGCATTCCGTGCTCTGATCCGGCAGGGAGCACGGATGATCATCATTCCCAGCTTCTGGTTGAGCACGGACATGCCCCTCGAAGCACGGAAATATAGCGAAGATACTGAATCTACGTTCCTCAAAGCAGCTTTAGTTTCGCGGGCGTTTGAAAATACCTGCGCCATCATATTTTGCAATGCCGGGGGTCCGGCTGAAGAGGGCTATATAGGTTTGAGCCAAGTGGCGCTGCCATTACTTGGTGTTGTTCCGGGTAGCTTTGCAGGTCCTGAGGCTGGGATGCGGATTGTGGAGGTTGATATGAATGCTGTGGAAATTGCTGAGAAGGCGTATGGGGTGAGAGCAGATCTTGCTAATCCTGGCTGGCATTATGAGGATAGGTAGAAGATGGTTTTGAATAAATGAGCTATCCCATACAGCCTGTGCTTATAATAAGATACGGCTGGATTGAACAATGTATCCGAAGAATGCACTCCTTTCCCTACTTGGCGTTGCAATATCTATCATACCTGTATCAGAACAACATTCGCGAAGCCTATGCTGGAAAGCTAAGTCTGCCGAAAAGCTATCTATCTCAGATTGTTATCTATCTGTTTTGATGAAGCCATGAGATCTAATATGGTTGGTCGCGTTTGTGATCGGCCCGACTATGCAAGACCATGACCCTGAGAGATATCTTTGTCAAGAAAAATAGGAGTGGACCGTAGCTTAGCTAGATCCGCCTACTTTTAGATATCAAAATGCTGAAAATGGAGCTCCCCGCTCTGTATGTATTATATACTGTAAGTTTCGTGTGCAGCTCACAATGGCAATATTCCACGGCTGAGGGCGTCGGGTGTGAGGTGCATGTCCACCCCAAATCTAGGTTGAGTAGGCGACATTTCCGTTGAAGCCCTGAGAGAGCAAATAGCACGCTGTTTGGGTCTGGAGCTGCTATTCTGCCGCAAACGCGGAGATAAAGGGAAAAAAAAAAAAAAAAAGAGGTTAGAATTTGCTAGCTTTCGGTGGATGTTCTGTCTCAGTTGTCGCAAAGCCGCTGAGCAGTGAAAACAAACTCTCTCCCCCACAAAACACCACCCAGTCCATTCCCAAATCCCCTCCAAGCCTCCAAGCCATGATTTCCCGCCTGTGGGTGTTGGTACGTACTTTCACCGCCCGCAGGTAGTAGCGGCATCCAGGCCATCTGTCAGCACAATGCGGGGGGACGAGCGGGCGTGCGCCGCTGGACAATAATAATAATTAATGAGCCGGTTTGACGGAGAATATCTGGTTGAACCTGGAAGCTGGAGCAGCGGGCTGGACTCTCGTAACCTAGCTAGCCGTGGAGTTAGAGCTGTCGGCATTGCTCATTTATCGTTATCACTGGTTGCAACTTGCTAGTGGCTGGCCCTGAGCGTGAAGCGTTTCCTGTCGATAAACTGAGGGGGGGCCAAATCCCATCTTCATCTCAAGTGAGTGCTCTTAAAGAGCATACTAGGGAGGTAAGTGATCGTGTGGTTTTTCTACATGAGAAATACTAAACATGTAGGTTGTTGATTTTACAAGGCGCAGGCTCCGAATACTGATTTCTCTTGTTCAGAGTAGGCAGATAACCATGATGATGTTATGGGATGGGATATGGGATTCACAGCATTATTTTCCCCCAAACCCGGAGAGTTCATCGTTCGTGATGTCAACTTTTGAAGAGGTGTTTCTTTGGTGTTGTTTTCGAAGCAGTTGATTGGGCGGCATGAACAGTCCAGAGTTATTGCGCGAAATATTCCCTGTTGGTTCGAGCATCCTGACATCCTGCGAATCTGCGAAGTGGCAGCCGATGTGGGGGTTGGTTTGCGCGTTGAGCCCAGCCCGGATGAATCTCACTAGTCACAGTCACAGACTTTCACAGTTGATGCTCTACGCTATTTTCCCGTCCGTCCTTGCAGGATGAGCGCTATATCTTCGGAATGGGCTAAGGCTTTACTGCGTATTGCAACAGTCAGACCGACCCCACCCGAGCCTTGCCAGTTGCAGGCAAGAATGATATTAACGATGGGGCCTCACGGTAGAAACAAGATTAATAACTACCACAGGAAAAACATCCAGCAATTTATACACACAACCCCCTCTTTTTGATAGACGCACGTCACAGCTACAGCAGATAGATGATGATAAGTTTAAATTTCTGCTTATACATAAGATTCCCATTATTTTTTTCCATATTAATTGGTGAAAGGCAATTACAGGGTTAAACTCAACATCCCACCTTGCGAGAAGGTTGACCTCCATCCAGTGAAAACCCACGCTGAGCCAATAACTCACACTTTGCCTTGGCTAGCTAGCTTCATTTAACCAACCCTTCCATCAACCCTTGGTGATCAAAGGGGAGTGTAAATCCCAGCACTACTATTTTATTGGTTACACCGTCTCTCCCCTCCCCCCCGACAGATGTGCCGGAGGGTGACCGACCCTTTAATAAGCCACCCGCCATCCGCCACCTTGTCTCTTGCTCTCTTGCTGCGAAGCTCTCCCTCCTACTCCAAGTTTCATCCTCATGTGCTATCAAGTTTCATCAAGTTTCTATCAAGTTTCTATCAAACCTGCAAAAGTACGTTCTGGACGGCATGACCATGTGCCGGATCGTACCAATATGTGACTGAACAGGTTAACTACCCTCTCTGACGTCTGCGATTCTCTGTCTCGGTTTCTGTCCAAAGGACTCGTCGGGTCGGGGTGACTTGGTGAAATCAAGATATATGTCCCTTCAACTCTCTCATTGTACTTTTATACATGACCAAAGATTCCGTTGAGCCATATCCGCAAAACAAAATAATTGGCCGCTACTAAGGTCTCTGTCGTGTTGGTGAGCCTCTTCGACCTCGGCAGACTACTCTACTGTCCTCATTATCAGACTTTATTGCCCGGCCTCCTGGGCGCATTTCATCATGATACGACGACTTTCCACTTTGATTAGCCCTGTACGTTTTTCCTTTTCATTTTCCCTTTTTTCGCGCTCGCTCGACCTACGATAGATATATCCTTTCACTTTTACAAACACCCCGTATTGACATATCGTACCGTAGAAGCGAGCGCCTCACAGACCCCGCGAGAATGTCGAGGATAAAACCAAGTATTACGACATCGACAATGCGGTTGCCAGCTCAAGACCGCGGTCTCCCTTAACCGATCGACAATGTTTATCCCTTGCGGCAGAAACACAGTTACAGAATGCATGCCTGTTTCTTTCCCAGAAAATTGAATTCCCAGACAGATGGACTGAATTTGATGATACATGCGCGGACCAGATGGATGTTAGTCCTACAGGTTCTCACTTCCCGGACTTGAAGATCTCATCATTTACCATCCCAGATCATATCGCTTCAGCCGTAAACGATGATCCTGCTTCTGGTTCGGACCATTTGTCGAATGAGCATGAAAGTGGCGCCTTAGATCCGGAGGACAAGGTGTGTTTGGACCTAAAAGAGAAGCAAGTATTGACCCATGACTACTTCGTGGATGCCTTCGAACCAGAGCAATCAACGGCGCCACTTGTTGTAGAAGAGGTTGGTAAGATATCCTCGTCAATAGACGAGCTAAAATTCCCTAGTCATTTCACCAGGGAACACAACCCCTTACCCGAAACTTTCATCAACTCGCTGGAAGAAGATTGGAAGGATTTGAGAAGCCCGAAACCTCCATATGGTATGTCCTCTACAAATGGCTTCGCTACGGATATTTGGACGATCCAGGAATGCACGACAGCTGAGATGGAGCAAATAGATGCGGGGCTACATTCAATTCTACCTCAATTTGTCAATCGAGAATCTCATGCTACGTCTTCCTCAAGAGAACGGAATATATCACCTCACCAACAGCAGATAGAGATCAACTCTCAACTGGGAGGATCCGACGGACCTGCTAGTCCGGCATTGGAAAATAATAACCCACTGCATACCGACCTCAAATGTCAAACAGAAAAAACCCCCGCGAAACAAATATTCAAAATCAACACCAATTTATCTCCAATGCTCGATGATTCGACCGAAAGGGATCTATCAATAAGCCCTCTTTCTTATGCACAATCATGGACCTCACGCTCCACGACCGGCAAGACAATAATCGACGCAAACGGGCTGGAAAAAGTGTTGACCCCGGTTGAGGAACAGCAGCGCCGTTTAGGGCTCCAGCGGGCTGTTATGGAAAAAATGTCAGGCGGCTTCAGTGTCCCAACATCCCCAGACACAAATAGAGCTACGGCGGCCATTCACTCAAATCCTCCTCCGCCAATCCAACCAACCCCACCAACTTCGCCTGCTTGGAATATGGCTAACGCCAAGGAACAATCCGCCACCAGCAAACCTGTAGATGCCAACAAGTTGGACGAGCAGACGAAAAATACACTTGTGCGGAAGTTGTCGCTGCTGACCCTTGGGAAAAAGAAGTCCGTTGCAAAGATCAACAATGTTCTTGGCTTCAGTGCTATCGTGGAGGCGAGGTAGTTACTAGAGGTAGTTGAAGGCGTTTCCTGTGTGTCTATTTGATCTAGACGACGTTACGATAAATGCGGGAAGATTTTGTCTACTGTAACTATTTTTTCCCCCTCTTTCCTTTTGATTTATCGTTTCATTTCCTCTTATCCTGTTTTCCCTCGGAACATACAGACCAGGCTACATACCACCACCATTTCCCGCTATGACTTTGACAAGATGTTATCCTATTTCTCTTTTATTTTTTTTTCTCTTCTTTTATTTTTTATTTTTTATTTTTATTTATTTTTTATTTATTCATTTTATTTATTTAAATTTTTTTTTTTACCGCACCCATTGTATAACCCCCCTCCCCTACATTTGATCTTGCTCCTTATTGATGTTTTCATATTCATATTTTCGGGGCAAGAAACGCCATTTCGTCCTTTGGTGGCAATTTCCTTTCATTTCTTTCCTTTTCATGATTGTATATATATGCTAGGATTTTTTATTTTATTTCATTGATTTATTTATTTATTTACTTTAACTTCTTTCTGTCAAGGTTGGGCGGAGCACTGCCTTAATTATTAATTTCCGTGTCCATCGGTTCATCCAATCGGATAACCTCCACTGATATAAGCTCAACTATCTCTCATCATAATAGTAAATCGCGTCTCCTTTCGCAATCTTCCTGAAGAATCGAATGAACCAATGCTTAGATAAATTAACTAGCTCAACATAGTTATAAAATTAAAGTCACTTTTCATTCTCGTATCAGGCAGGGTTTTAATTCGTGTAGGTATGGCTTTCGCCACTAAGTTTGCACAGGGATGTACTGTACGTTTTTGTATATATGGAGAATTCTTATGTTGCTTGTAATCTGTGTGCTAGCCTTAACCTGGGCCATGTCGAAGCCATTCATTCGTTCTAGAATAGGAGAACTAGTTATATACCGCGCTATCAAATCCTTTAAAGGGGAGCTGAGTCATGGTAAAAAAGTGTTGCGAGGAGCTGCGCGGCGGGTGGGTAACTCATCAACCCGAAGTATTGCGAAATATGATATATATTAATACCACAAGCGGGCGAAGGGAGGGGAATAAATAATAAATATGGAAAGCGAGCGAAGATGTATTTATTTTAGATTAACTAGGAGCTGGTAGGAATGGGTTGACATGCTTGATATATAACCCTAAATATGACGGTTACAGGAGAAATAGAGGGACAAAAAAGGGGCGCCAAACAAACTCAGGCCCAACAAGCGAAACGACAACAAAAGGTTTTTTTGGCGAATGTTCATACCTAATGTTCATACATCCCATTCTAATACCGCCTAATGTGTCTTCTGAGTGAAAAAAAGAAAATGATCTTAAATGATTCCCATCATGATTATGGAGCTGCAAAATGTCACAAAGGAAAGAGCAATAAAATGGCACAAAGGAATGGATAGAAAAGAGAAGAGAAAACTGGTCTGTAGCGAAGTAATACCGTTAAGACACTTTTAGGAAAAATAATCAAAAAGCGATCAATGCCCACGCCTGGGCCTCTTATTTTCACCTCCGTGCCTAGCGGAGGGGGCAACGTTAGGTCGGTCATCCACGTTGGCACCAGTGGGTCTTCCACGTTTCCGGGGCCAAGTGCCTCCCCCGTTGCCGCTGCCGCCTGTGCCACCAGCACCACCATTGCCTCCACGTCCGCTACCAGCGTCTCGGCGCTCTCGATCCCGTTCACGCTCGCGATCGCGATCGCGGTCCCGGTCCCGGTCTCGCTCACGATCTCTGTTGCGATCGTCACCTCGACCACCACTACTCCATCTCCGGCCTTCCGGATCGTTTGGTGGTGGTGGTGGAGGAGGCGGAGGAGGTGGAGGAGGTTGCGGGGTTATGTCAGGTTTACCGCCACGGCTTTGGCTCTCTTGGGTACCTGAGTCACGTTCTCGCTTGTCTCTCCGCCTGCTAGCGGAGACTGGCTCTCTATTTGCGCTCGAGCTCTGTGCGCCTCTTCGTGATGAAGATTCTCGTGAACCGCGAGCCTGGTCCCGGCTGCTGGTTTCTGTTGCACGACCTCGATCGCGTTCTCGATACTCGTCCCGTTTCGTGCTTGGTCTTACGCTGTCCTCTTCGCCTCGACGAGTGGCATCGCGCTCCCGGTCCCGATCTCGGTGTTCCCGTTCACTTTCTCTCTCGCGTTCTCTCTCACGGTCGCGTTCACGATCCCTCTCCCGATCTGGAGTGCGAGTACCGCTAGAGTGGCGGGGGGCCTCCTCTATAATTTCACTTCTCCGACCAGCTCTACCAGGTCCACGAGGTTCGTCTTGTGGAGGTGGTGGTGCGGCATCAGAGCGACCAGGGAAAAGCTCCGGCCTTTCTGTTCCTGATGGGGGCGCAGAACCAGAATAAGTGTCAGCCTTCCCGCCAACAGGAGTATGCGGTCGGGTGGATTGAGGCGACGGAGCGTTGAGTGAATTGCTACCGGCGCGATTCGCACCCCTTCCTCTTATCGAAGTGCCCATCCCAGCTTTATCTGCTGGACCGCCAAACTGCTGAAGCATATTGTTCAGGCCTGCAAATCGTTTATCTCCCCGGCCCCTCTCCCCTGAAAATGTAGATCCAGGGGGTCCTCGAGTAGTTGGCGAATGGCCAGAAGGTGGATAGCCACCACTCCGTGGGCCAGACGGTGGTAAAGCTGAGGTAGGTGAAGATGATTGAGTTCCATCATCTCCGGGAGTTTGAAGCGCTTTTAAGCGGTCAGGATGAATACCGGATGTATCAATTTTGTCCAGCGGAACAGGCGCAGAAGGCGCGGTGACCGCGGGCTGCTGGTCCTGGTGGGTTGGATTCCGTGTGGATAGCCGGCTTGATGGTCCTGTAGGTGGCTGGCGGTCTGATGGTTGTGGTGGAATCGGAAGTGGTTGCGATAGAGGCGGATTTCTCCCACCACGTTGAGAGGCAGTTCTCCTAGGGCCTGACGGGATATCCTGAGCCCTCTCAAACGGCTCCTGCGGGCGCGAGGGGAATCTTGAATCTTGATTCAACCTTCCATATGACGGTTCTGTTGTCGATGGCGGGTACGTTGATCGCGACTCTTGGCCATGACGGTTATCGCCTGCCGTAGGATGAGTGGCTCTGTCTCCTCTTGGCCCAGTCGGGAGATCCTCTGAGCGTGGTGGGTGAGAATTAAAAGTTGCAGGTTTCCTCTCTTCGCGCTCATTTCGCCTATCGGGTCTGTTGGGAGGCCGGGAATCATCTCCCTTGGTAGGGCTAGGGGGGCGAGAGCCACGGCTTCTTCTATCATCCCGTTCAGGTCTTGGATGTTCATGACGCTGGTGTGACGGGGTTTCGGGGTAAGATAGGCGGAGAGGATGGTCACGATCGTGAGATTCAGGAACACTGGACTGTCGATATGGATGTATATCGCCATCTCTGAAAGGCCGGTCCGGTTCTTGCCGGGATTGGAAGGCATCCGCTTGAGACATCCTTCCCCTGCTCATCCTTTCAGACCATTCCTGATCTCTCGGCGAAGGGCGTGCATCTCTGTAGCTTGGACGTCCAAGGTGATCTTCGGGAGGGCGTGCAGGAAAGTCTTTATCCATCCGAGGGCCTTCAAGCCTATCCCGGTCCCCAAGCCTGTCGTTTGGCCGGGTGTGGCCTCGAAGTTCGGTAGAGAAAGGATGCTCAAATGGTCTCTCACGATCTTGTCCACCAAATCGCCCAATGCGATCCGGATGTCTGTTGTCCCGCGCATCTCTTCGTTCCTCGGGCATGCCGGGTGGTCTCATAGGCGTACGGTCATCAGAATGCTTAAAGGGTCGAGGAGGTTCCGGTTGATTAGGGAGGTTGGGTTGAACACGGACAGGAGGGCTAGGCTGAGGAGGGTATCGATCGACATCTGGGCGTTTTGGGATGCCTGCCGGATGGGAAGCTTCCGAAGGTGGCTTACCAACTACTCGTGGCGGAGCGGGAGAAGAGCCACGACCTGGAGCAAGGGATTGTGCATCTGCTTGGGGGGTTAGGGTGGTCACGGGGGGCTGCGAAGGTGGTTGTGAGGATGCTCTTGTTGGAGCTTCCACAGGCCTTGCTGCTTTTGCTGGCTGGTCTTCTTGTGTCGTGACAGGAATTTCGCTCTGTTCCACTCGGTCCGGTTTGCCCGGAGCAGTCGGTTCTCTAGTGCCAGAGGCACTAGGTACTTGTTGGGGTAGGGTGTCGCCTTTCACAGCTTCTGGTTTCGTGGCTGCATCACTCATATTCGCGTCCGACGTCTTCGCGTCTTGGATTTCACCATCTTCAACTTCTTTTCCAGGCCCTTGAGGCCGCGCACCATTTACCCTAAGTATAATCAGAAAAAAGTCCCATTTCGTCGGAGGGGGGCAAGGTTTGTATCGACTCACGTGGTTGACGTCCCCTGTGGTTTGAAGTCAGGGGCAGAGGCATTCAAAGGTTTGGGAGTAGTTGGCCGGGGCTGCGGTGTGCGTGCTTTGGCCTTGTCACCGGGTAACGGTTCGTTCTTTGGCGAATTAGCTCCACCTTCCATAATGCCAGCAGGTAGACTCACAATCATGAACGCTTGTGGAAGTAACCACTTCTTTTCCCTTCTATTCAGATCCCCAATCAACGAGGCGGCTGGAATTTTGACATCGTCGCGTGGATCCAATGTCTTGAGGTTGTTGACGCAGGTGTGCATGTCTCGGCCAATCCAGTTAACAGCAGGGAAATGTTGAACCACAGCCTTCAGTACGCTGATGGCATTGCGAATATGCATATACTCGCCTCCTGAAAGACACGTCTTCAAGCAAGCGCCAAAAATGCGGTGCCACTTGTACAGAATTCGGCGGAAATTCTCATAATCCAAAAATGACTTTGGCTTCCCCTCTTGGTCCACAGCCATGGCGAAGCCTGGGAGATCCCTTTTAGTCCCATACGCTTCCTTCTCGTAGACAGCCTTGTCGGCATGCCACCTCATTAAATCACGTAGTACCTCATTGAGGAAACGACCAAAATTGTCAGCTTCCTTAGATGTACAGTGGAAAATGATTGCAGTCAACCGCTGTTCACGGAACAGTTGGTCAAGGAATCCCACCGTTCGAAAATTGGGTGTCCCGGACGAATGCAGATACTTGAGCATCTTGAAACTGTAGAAAGCGTCAATAGGGGAGAGAAGCAATCGAGGCAATAGACACTGTTCCATGACCGCGATGTTAAGGGCCTCATGTTTCCCTCTCAATCCAACAAACCAGCGGTCCTTCTCCTTCTGTAAACGTGCACGAGTTAAACCATAGTACTTAAGATGTGCCTTGTTTTCTGCTAGAATTCGATCGTGGAGGTCGTTAATCTGCTTTTTTTCCTTATCTTTTTTCAAAGTACCAGCCACACTAACATCAGTCCGGTCTTGGGAGATAGCCTGGATCCGCTTCTTGAGACGTTCCAGTTCCTCTTCGTAAGCCCGTTGCGGAACATGAATATCATACAGTGATAGCTGCCAAAATGTGACAAAGAACGGAAGGCCAACAACTTCCCACGTACTTCGCGGCATTGTGGTTTTGATTTTCTCCATCAGCCCTTCAAGTACAGGATGCCATGGTACATTTTCAGGGGTCGGCTGAGCGGCGAGGGGCGTATTGGGCGTGTTCGACGGCGCCTCACTCTGGGTATCATTCGAAGTAGGGGCAGGTTTTTCAGTAGCCATGACCACATCTTCGGATGAATCTTTCTTCTCGACAGCTTCACCCTCATCCACCATTGACACATCGCCATCGGGAGTCTTCAACGGCGCAACGGCAGGAGTAATAGATTCGCTTCCCGCCTTCTTCGCGGCCTCTTCCCGCTTCTTTGCATCGACTTCCGCAATCTGATGTGCAACACTAGGGCGGGTAATCCAGAACGCGACCTCAGGCTGCAATCCAAAGTCACCAATGAGACTTGCAACGTCCGGCACGAACGCGTCAAATTCCTCAACTGTAAAATTGCTCCGAAGGAGGTCGATATATTGAGTCAAAACCCGGTGGATTTCGTCAAAGATATTACCAAGGAGCTTAAGTTCGTCATCAGCCTCTGATTCCTTGAATATACAGGTGGCCCGTTCCTGCGCAATAGATATGAGAAGCTGTCCCGCAAGTTTGGAATCTGCCAAAGACTTCATAAGTCGTCGGGAGGTTATCTTTGATTCGTGGCGCTTATCGAGAAGCTGTAACATGGTCTGAGACTGTAGCAGTTCGCCGCCGGCCATTGCTTGAATTTGAGAGTCGTTGAAGTTTGTGTCGGTCACGATTCCCGCCATTGAACTTATGAGTTGTTCTAGAATAACGAGATCGGTGGAGTTGTTTTGCCGAAGCTGCTCCCCAACATATTGAAGGACAGGAACGGGGTCCATGATGGTAGAATATCTTTTGAATACCCTACCGACAAAGGATGCAAGCGCATTGAGCCATCTGCTAGTCAGAAGCCCTCCTTCTTGAACCCTACTCCTTCCCTTCTGCCCAAGAGAGTTGATTAGTAACCAGGTTAGGATGTCGTATCCTAGGTACGTGAAATATCTGGCACATTCTACCACAACTTCAATCAAGTTCTCATATGCTTCGATCTGGTTTATAGCAACGCTGATAACGATTCCCGGATTAGCGTACGCGATTTTGGCTAAGGTTCTAGCCATCGGCTTGATGTTGGTTTTGCTTAGTCTTTTAAGGGCATCCTTCGTTTCTGCTCGCGCTTGATCGAACGCAGTTTTGATATCGGGAAGTCGCGAAGTTTGGCCAGAGTACCATTCAGCATAGATGGAATACCTCACATCTCGCGAGAAATGTCTTAAGAGCGCAAAAACTTCGTTCACAACACCAGGGTTTGCTTTGGTTAAACTCAAAGCCGGGACCAAGAGACGCTTGCAAAGATCTCGCCATCGCGTTCGGTTTGAGTCCGACGGATCGCTAAGTAGACTTTCATTCCCAAGCCTAGCCAATTTCGTCAATAGGCTAGGATCTTGTCCGACTTTAACCCCGGAGAGATTCAAAAATGATTCACAGAGAGCGAATACATCATCCACTGTCTGGCACATGGGTATATTATCAGTCCAATCATCCCAATAAAATCGATAGTCGGTTCCATCGTTGGTATCTTCTTTATCCAGCAACGCCCAGCGAAGGACGCGTCGGGGCGGGGGATCCGCCAAACGGATATTTCCCTTCGGAAGGCTTGCTTGGTCTGAACTAGTGATCTTCTTCTGATCATTAATGTCATTCCTTGACGACATTGGCCGCGATAAACCGCAAAGTCTGCTCAAAGAGTAGTGTATTATACGGTGGATATATTCCAGGAGCTCGGGATATGCATCTAATAACCAGGGAAATCGACCAAGGATGTAAAGAGATTCTGGTAAGGCGCCAATAGCAAGCAGACTTTTTAATAGTAGTACTTTTTGGTCAGTTGGTTCCGGTAGTGCTTCTTTGTTCTCTTCGATTTTTGGTTGGGCCGACTTGTCCGCGTCCTGGTCCTTGGCAGGGGTTGCTGCGCGCGTGTCAGCTTCTCGAGGTCTAGGAAGTGGTACAGGTATAGTGTCGTCGGTTAGGGCACCAGCCATCATCAAAGCGTTCATTGTTCCAGCACCAGGTCTAGCTGCCAGTTCTCTTTGCTCCTTTTCTTTCATTTTCTCCTCCTTCAGCTCGTCCATAGACTCGTCAGGTCGCCAAAGGTGGGGGTAGAGGTCTCGTAAAGATATAAAACCAACTTTTATGAGCAAAGCAGCTAGATAGATGAGATTGTCCGGTAGAATGTCAGACGGATTTCGAGCATTGGAAGAGTAAAACCGTAGCTTGAATCCCAAAAGTTGCGCTGCAACCCTATTTCCCTTCGGTGGTAGCGTCCCCGTCCGCTCTATCCACTCCCGAGTCTCTTTATCGTCATCCGGGACGATATTTCCGAGGTCGGATATGGATCTTAATTGGTCTGAGTCTAATGACTGGTTCCGACCTATTTCGAAGAACGCACGGATGCCAACTTCCCTAGCTCTATCCCATAAGACTCGATCTCGATTTTCGTTCATACGAAGAGCCTCTTCCCGGTCCTCTTCTGTTGTAGACCAGCCAGCAGAGCCAGGTAGCGCCCATTTAGGTAAACCGGACTCCGCGATCCCGCAATACCGGCGAAGGAAATTTTCGTCCTTCGGCCACCACGAGCTGACGCGTAGGAACTTGACAAAGAATCGATATTGTTTCACGAGAACTGCGGCGAACACATCTAGCGTGACATCGAGAGCCCTTCCAACATCCATGTCAAACGCTCCAATCATAGCTTTGACCCTTTCAAAAGTATCTTCAACAACTTCGGCCGAAGGGGGTTCATTGTTGCTTGTCGTAAACAATTCGGTTAACAGCTTAGAGTATCCTTCCGATTCTTCTCGTAGCAAGTTATAGTTTGACTGACGATAAAGAAGATTTGTTTGTTTGCGAATTCCCATACGAGCAAAAGTATCGCGGATTAGGCCAAGAGATTGTAGTAGGGGAGTCTCGAGCTGCTGTCGCATCAAGGAGGACGAGATGCCTGTCGAAAAGACAAGGGTGCGAAGACTAGGATGTGTGGTGTCTGCGTCTGTTATAATAGAGAGGGTATCGAGGAAAAGAGAACGCGCATCAAAAGGTGGAATCACAGCGCTGTTCGGTTCACCCGAATCGGTTGCCTCATCAGTAGTCACGTCTTCGCCAACAATCTCCTTCACACACGTCCCTCCATCGACTGCAGATATTCGGCCATCAAAAACCGACTGGATAATCTCCTGGAAGATAGACGAGATAACCATGGCGCTCTCGGTCTTCCGGGCGTTGATCCCAGCTTCGACGACATTTTTCTTGCCCGTCGACATCCAGCTCTCAATACACTCCTGTGTAACGTAGTCGTAGGAGTAGGGGGTCGCCAGAGGCTTAGCCACGGCATTAGGTATTGGGGCGGAGGGAGTCCTGCTTGGTTGAGAAGGTTCGGGGGGTTCTCTAGGTGATGCCATGACAGATCTCGATGAAGGAGAGCTTTCTTTCTGGTGGGAGTTGTGAGCGTCGCTCCCTCTTCGCACTGGCGTACCATTCCGGTTACTGCCTCTGCTTGCTCTTCGTGCTCCCCTACCATGGTTATCCTGTGAATCCCGACCTTGGCTATGGAACTGGTTTTGTTGTTGCTGCTGGGCCAGGTTGAGGCTTCCTGGACGATGAGGAGAAGGCCGCGGGCCACTGTTTGCCGCATCTCCAGGCCATGACCTATCGCCGCGTTTACGCTTCCCACCAGCCGGAGGAGCCATGGTGGATGCTTGGGGGCGCGTTGTCGCTCAGGAGAATGAAATTTGACGCGTTGAAAGAGCGATTCATAAGGTTTTGACTATCTGGATTGTTGCGAAGACATCAATGATTCAGTGAGTAAACAGGTCAAGTAGCACAGAAAGACGAAGGGGAAGGGGGATTACCAGTCGCAGACTATCCATAAGGAAGGTTAAACAAGAAGGCCCACAAGCCTTTCACAGCTTTCTGATCGTTTTCGGTTAATCGCGTTTGCTTTGTCCACCGGTTGCGTGAATCGCAGTTGAAGTTGTCGATTGAATATTTGCTGTCCGGACCTTAGCCTTCTCAATTCGGTTTAGCCACCTGGACGGGGAAGAGCCGCAAGCCTTGTGCGCTAAGCGAGTTTTGGTAAGCGTGCATCTAAGTTAGCTAGCCAGCCACCACAACCTCACTCATTTCCCTAGAGAACGTCCTGTCTTTCAACAACCCACTTACACTTCTCTGTCCAGACATACATTCATTAAAAGAAAGGAACACAAGAAGCCAAAAAGAAGGGAGCACTCCACGGGGATTAGAAGAGAGCAAGCACCGAGGATGCTTGAAAGATCCTTCGATAGTACATTGTGACGAAACACCACAACTCTCAACTATCTCCATTAATCGTATATTACTATGTAGATAACTAGCTGGGAATCTCATACATTGCAACACCTGACAATGATCAAACTCCTTTCAAATACGATAAATCCTGAATCTCTCAAAGACTCGCCACCACCAGTCTTCTGCTCATTAGCAAAAGAATGCCACAGAACCCACAAACCACTTCATCTGGATGATTGAAGTACAAAATTGAGTCTAAGCACAAAATTTTGCTAATATATCAAAGAATTTTGACACTAGGAAACCAAATAGAAAAGAAAACCTAAGACTTCTCAGGCACCAGCAGCAATACCTGCGGTCGCGAAAAATAGTTTCTCGCGGCGCATCATGAGACTTGAGACTGCTACAAGGGCGCCCCCTGCGATGACTAGCGCATATGTTTTGTCAATGGCACTGACAATGGCATCAAGCACCCACATTTTGAGGTCTGGAGAGAAGTTTTGCACCAGGCCAGAACGAGCCCCCAGGATGGCCGCCTGAATGTCCGCCCCGGCAACGTCCGGTAGGATCTCCTGAATCTGGTCCTGACTGGCGTTGAGGAGGATGGCGTTGGCAGGGGCAAGAGCAATTGTAATCCCCACGAACTGTGCTAATGTGATAAACCCGATGGCTGGTGCGACATTTTCCTGGTCGACCACAGCTTGGGTGACGGAAAATGAGGCCTGGAGAAACATTCCTACGCCGGTGCCTATGAGTACGGTATACCCGTAAACGCGGCTGAGAGGGGTGTCGTGCTCGACAACGTACATGAGGCCGGATCCAACTATGGTCAGAAAACCGCCTACCAAGTACCACGACATGTAATACCCTAGTTTGGCCATCAATGTGCCGTTGATAAAGACAAACACGATCATTACTATCACTAAAGGCAGCAATCGCCACCCTGCATCTAACGGGGTGTCGCCACGCGTGAACTGGAAGAAAAGAGGAACCATGTAAAATGGGCACAAAGGCACATGTGCCAGAGGCAGCTGTGCAGCTGAACAAGAGGAGCACCGTACGTGAGCGGAAGAACTGCACTGGAATAATACGACGCGAGGGGCAGGTGCCGATAGCCCAGGCTTGTTGGATGCCCAGCAGGATAAATAGCACACCAGCGACGACAAACATGGAAATAATCCGCGCCGAATTCCACGGGAACGTGAGTCCGCCCAGATTAAGCGCGAGAATGAAGGCTGTCAGCGCGCCGCCCTGCAGCAGGATACCCGGGTCATCCAGCTCGGCCCACCGCTCCTTGATAGTCGCTCCCGGGCGCGGGTCTATGCTTGGGATGAGGAGAAGGTAAAAGGGGGCACAGGCGGCGCCGATGAAAATGTTGATATAGAATGCCCATCGCCAGCCCACATCAGACTCGCTAAAAGCACCCCCGACCACAGGGCCTAGGACAATTCCAAGTCCCCATGTCAAGGCGGTGCAGGATACAGACAATGGCCGCTCCGTGAACGTGGTGGTGGCGGCAATAAGCGTCATGCACCTAACATACAAGCTGGGGCCCCCCATGACTGCTAAGGCACGACCAAGAATCATGCTATTGAGGGATGGGGCGGCGCCGCAGATGGCCGAGCCGACCTCGAAAATGACCGCGTTAACGATGAAGAGCCACTTCACGTTTACCTGGCCGTACATTCGGCCCCAGACCAGGTTAACAGCGGTCGCGCAGAGCAGGAAAGCGACGCTCAGCCATGCCAAGTTCTGGATGCCGCCGAGTTCTTCCACGATAACGGCCTGCAGATCGGCTACCACTGTCACGTCGAGGGCATAGAGGAAGGTTGAGGCTAGGATCGATATGAAGGTCAGATACCATTTCCATCCGTCGATGTTGCGTGGAGGAGTATCTAGTGTAGGGCTTTCGATTGCTGTGGGACTCTCAGCCTCAGTAGTCGAGTCCTTTGCACGGCTGGTTGAACTATCGCCTTCGGTTTTCTCAACTGCCATTCTGGAGCTGAAAAGCAGTAGATGGAAGAGGGAATATGTTGTGCTTCCTCGCAGATAGCAATAGGCAGGGAATGATTGTAATGGTTAATGGAACCAAATTCCATTTCCAAAAAAGATCAATAAAATTGGAGGCAATGGACGATTGAATTAAATCCTTTTCACAAACTCCTATCTCGACAGCGGCCCCTGCTTACCCTTTGGGCTGATTTGTCACCTCATACTTTGATTCATCGACTTACTTATCAGGAGAATTGGTCCTTACGTCACTATCTAACATATCATCTACAGCTGCGGACTTAAGTCTTGCTAGTTGGCGGTCAACCATTAAGGGAAGTAAGTAACTACTGCTGTAGTATTCTGCCCTGCAGGAACTGACGCCACCGAAGCTTGACCGAAACTTTTCGGTCCAAAATTTGTCAGCAAGACGGAGCTTGGAAACAAGTTCGTGATGATCGGCAGCGTGTCCATACTTTAAATGACTTACAAGTTGAGCTCGATGGACGGAATGGCTTTCAAATCTCTGCTAGAACGCACTGTGTACACCACAGGGAGCTACAGAGCGACCATTCATGGAGGAGTTCGGTGGAGTTTCAATTCAATTGCATATCTGTTTTCATGAGATAACTACTCATGACCATGCATACTAACTCTACCATAGCAGGCTGCGTACCGGGTTTGTTGGACATGGCGGGATTGGCATTAACAATCTGAACTAGCTAGAGTTGAAGTCTCCTGGCCTGATTTCGGGGGTAACTACTGACGGAGTTAGGTAACGACCGGACATGAGTATGGAAGACTGAATGAATCACGCTGGTAAAATTATTTCTTATGTTCCTGATCTTTGTCTTCTCATCATAGATGTCTGAAGATCTCTGAGAGAACGGTGCTCTGAGACCTTCATATGGTACTGCTCAGAGATCTTGTACGTATAACAACGCGTGAAGAAAGGACTTATTAAGGAGATGTGCTCTCGGTGTCAATGATTACTACTTGTCAGATAATATAGCAGTGTTCATTACTTGATTAACAATTCATAAGATGATTGGCTTCTGCCAGACGTGCCACCTATTCCTTATAGATAGGCCCCCGAAGGGAGAGAAGAGAAGAGGAAGAGGGAGGAGTTAAGGGGAAGGAGGGGAGGGGAAGGAGGTGCGGTTGGAAGCTGGCACAAGGGACAAGTGCTTAGGGGAGGGAAATCGAAGAACCTATTTATTAGTATGACACTGAAGGTATTTGTCAAGAATGATTGTATCTGAGTATCCATTGTGAGGTTGAAAATATGGAAATGTTGTGTATTTTTCTTATACAGTCACTAAGCTCGACCCAGTCTTCCGTATTAGGAACTATTTAGCACGTCCCCAAGATAAATTTTAACAATTTCAAGCAAGGCCCAAGGCCTTTGCTTCAAGGTCAACGATATCAGGCAAAATTTCACGCGCAGATGGCCGGTGCGGATTCCAACCAAGAAGTTTCTTCGCACGAATCGCATGGGCTCTCGAATTGGTTCCCCACGAGAAAGGCCCAAATGCAAACAAATCTGCAGTCTGCTTGCCATCCAGGATTTCCAGCTCTGAGGAGGTGATCAGTCCCTTGTCAAAAGCAATCTTCGCTACCGCCTTCTCCACATCGCCCCAGACAAACGATCCATTTTCCACAAAGTAATACCCTTCCTTTCCCCAAGTCGCTTTCCCGCCGCCGGCAGCCGCAGCTTCGCCAAGGAGGAGGAATAGGTCACTCAAATCATAAACATGGATTTCGTGCCAGACATTTTCGCCTTTGCCCACCTGGAGGCCCTTCTTTCTCTTTAGAACGTACTTGGCCAGGTTGTATATCTGGGAACCTCGGGTATTGCCTGGACCCCGTCCAGCGCCATAGATTGTCGGGGGGCAGACGATGGCTGTCTTGGCCCGATCAGCAGCAACCTCACCGACAGCCAAGACGATTTTGTCCACGTCTCGATGGAAAGCCTCGTCGGGAAGAGACGTCACTTCGCCAATTCCATCCCAGTCATTGTATTCCTTCGGGCGAAGACCTCCGTAGGTCGAATTGCCTAAATCTTCGAATGTGAGAATACCTGTTCCCGAAGTGTGGATCCACCAACCAGGGCGATCGGGCGTGTGGGCAGCTATGCCCTTGGCAATCGCTTGTGAGGAAGCAACATGGTCACAGTCCGCGAAGTCTGTTGAAGCCAGCAAGATCATAAGTAAACCGTGTTAGCCAGCCATTTCCCAGACGATTAAACATATACTTCACAAGTATGAAGAGGAAATAGAAGATAGTATCTTGCAAGGACATGTCATACGGTAGACGATATCCGCCTTCTTTGCTTCTTCTTCGAGGAGCGCAACGGAGTCGAGATCCCCGTACACAAGCTTAGTGTTTGGATACTTGCTAGTAACCAACGCTCCTTTTTCCTGACTGCGGACGAGTGCAGTGAACTCCCATTCCGGGTGGACTTCATTGAGACGGAAGAAAGCATCTCCCCCGATGTATCCAGTAGCTCCAGTCCTAAGCTTTGTCAGATCGCCCGTGGGATACTTAGTTTGGAGCGGAATGCGCTGTTAACTCACACGAATACCTTGGGTGGGGCCATTTTGACGCTGCGGGGGGGTTCTTATTTAGTAGATTAGTGAAACGGGGCTCCCGTCGCTCCAAGAGGGGTCGGGGTCTGTTGAAGGGATATGGAGACAGTAGTGCGAATAGGTGAACGCGTGCTTCAGGGCTTTCAGCAACAATTCACATGGATGATGGTTTGGTGATAGTTCAAGAACAACTCCCCTGGCACCAGCCCTCTTATATATTCCTCGTGAATTCACCTGATGATGCTGATGTTCTCATCCACCTTGGCAAGCAGTGGGGTAATGTATAATCCATCCTGGACACTCCCCCATTCTTGGAACCATCTGGGCGCCGCTTTGCCATTTTGGGTTATGGCTTTAGCATACGCTGTACAGTGTCAAGCTTGGGTTCTTCAGACCTTTTGCAAGCTCTCACTGGTGGTTGAGATCTGCAACATTGTGCATTGAGATTGAAAATCTCGCTGAGCATTTTATTTAACAGACATATTTATATTTTGGACCCTGTATAACAAAAGACTGGCTGTCTCACACATTCCGAATTGAAATGCTGTTCAATCTCATTCCGCACCGCAGGGGACGTGATAACCACGGAGCAATCGAAACCCTCAAAGCTACAATCTTAAGAATCACTCTGCAGACTGTAGGAGGCGCATTCTTTTGGCTTTACCAAGCTGTATGTACGGTACAAGGCTCAAAGGCCACCTGGTCGCGGTCAAAAATACACTTTGGGCAAACGCTGTTCAAGGGATTGAAGTAGGAGAACTTGCTGTTCCTCTTGAGCTAGTCTTCTGACTCTCCAGAGACACAGAGGGTGAGGCAGAAGAATAGGCACTCATTGTTGGAGATTGCAAAACACTTCTTGCAGAATACAGGAGCATATTTTGAATAGGATGCCTAGGAAACACCATGCTTATTACAGCAGCATGTTCAAAACTGCATGATGTGCAGGGAACCAAAGACTCCAGAAGCTGGGCCTGTTTATACAAAGCCAGATTTCATAAGAAGGAGCTATTGACATTGGGTTTGGCATTTTGCTCTAGAATCATTAACTCAAGTGCACATATGAGCACTGAAATATATACATAGTCTAGTAACTAATATTCTTTCATAGTATGTTTTGGTTTTTAAAGCTGCTAATCATTCAAGACATCTCATTTCTGTCATTTTGACATCTAGAATTATATCCACACTGTTAGATGCATGCACCAGTCCTCATTACAATTGTCCACACCCATTGTTGGCCTATCCAAATAGCCAGCTTTCAACCAAAGAACATATGATATGACAACACAACAACTGTGGCTTTCCGGTGGGGCATTCTGTTCTTAGAAGGAGAATTACCTTTTAAGCTCGGGAACGGATCCACTATGTCAAGAATATGTGCCCTAGATTCGGTCACAACTAGGCGTTATGAAACGTGGGGATTTCCAAGCAGCTTAATAAGGTTCACTTATGTTTAGATAACAACAACCAACCACATTCAACCTCTCTCACAACTTACAATACCGGTTTGTAAGTATTCTAACTTGGACGATTCGATATTGCCCGTCCACAACCTCGTATTCCTGCCCCGCGCGCCTTATGACAGGGGCATGGTGCACGAAATACCCCGCGCTGAGCAAAACTTGGAGCCGAAATGTGTAATTCCTTCAATGATATATTAATCTCCGTTTCACCTCCACATAGTAGTCCATTTCCGAGTTTAACTTCGTTTACATAATTACTGCTGAGCGGTTCCAAAACAACAGGAAAAAAGAAGTCACGAAAACCGAATTTCATATTACCTATTTTTATAATCAGAGAGGAATCTAACATATTGAAATACCTCAAGTCATAAGAACAGAAAAAAATAAAGAAAGAAAGAAAGAAAAAGCAACAATGTCCGCAGCCACACCAACAACCACAGATCCAGCTCCGGTCGTCGTAGGCGGCTGTGCATGTTCCTACCTCCGCTACACTTCCACCGCCCTTCCCAGTAGCCTATCGCACTGCTTTTGCGTTGAATGCCGCAAGTCCGCGGGCGGCCCGTTCCAAACATACGTCCGCTTCCCCACAACGGCCGTAACCTGGCTCAACGACCGGCAGCCTAAATATTTCTCAGCTAGCACCTTCGCCCGCCGCGGGTTCTGCGACAAGTGTGGCTCGAGTTTGGTGTTCCAGATGAATGAGCACCCGGAGAGGATTTCGTTAACTGGGGGCTCTATTGATGATTGGGATGTGAAGTGGGGACTGGAAGGAAAGAGAGAAGGGGAAGGGGAAATGGAAGGGAAAGGGGAAGGGGAAGCAGGAGCCAAAAAAGATGGATGGGACGAATTGAATAAGTCATCCGTGTATTACTGGGTGAGAGAGAAACCGTCTTGGTATAAGGTGCCGAATGATGGTGTGGTGAAATACTTCACGGATCCGGATCTTGAGGAGCAGCCGCCGGGATTCGGGGGGGGGGAGGGAGACCCTTTTGGAGTGGTGGCTCGTAAATGATAGCGGGCATTGGTATTCGATGTATATCTGAGCGGCAATTTTGCAGTAAGGAGAAAAGGGGTCATATCCCATGATCTTCCATATATTTCGTTCTGGGTTTTTGAGCTGAGGGCTCATCGGATAATGTAATAATAGGGTGTTCCATCGAAATGCAAGGAGCCGATTGTTGTAGTTATTTGGTGCTTCAGGCACTCATTGTCCAAACAGAGAATTGAAGATGCATGATAGAATACATCAAAATCACCCTCTCTATCCCAACCAGTGCAGGGCAAGATCATCCACGTGATCTCTTAAAGGGGCTCTAACAACACCTAGGGACCACACAATACTCAATATAAAACAAGATTCAGATCAAAAATCTTCTTCTTCTTCTTCTTTTGTCATTATTCAAAAGACTCCAACAGTGATCACACCTTTTCTGCTCTGACATTCCTTTGATTGAACCCAAGTCTTTCATCACCTTTCCATCATCATATCCCTTTCCACGGCTTTGCCCCTTTTCCAGTTGTATCTCCCGTCTTGGACTCTGCAGAACATCTTTGTTCTCCTTATTGCTTCAGAAGAAACAGTCTCTAATACCAGGTCGGGTATTCTGAAGGCCTCTTGGTGTCCACGCAGCTAGGGTATCGTCCTCTCGACATAGCAAAGAGCCATCCATCGCCTAGCCCCTAGGGCTGTTGGAAACCCGCAGAGCAAAGAGTGCCCTTTTTGTCAACAAGGTTGAACTATTCAGTCATTCCATCGCCTGGATCAAACATTCGTTTTAGCATATAGCTAGGCCCTTTCTTCCTTCCTTTCCCAGCAGAACAGCATCCTATCCTATACCGCGAAAACCACCGCTCTTCAGGAGCTGGCTCAAGCTGTTCGTTCGCATCCCCCTTTCAAAAGGTTATTCGCAAGACTTCCTTTTGAAATCAACTGTTATTCCAATCTGTTCAACCTTGAGATAGACCTTCTCGTAGCAACGCCGAGAACGCAATCAAACTTGTATAGCAATCCAAGTTTCAGCAGAATACCTAGCATTAAGGACATTCCATCAAGATACCACAGAAGTCCCAAGGAATTCTGAAAACCGATTTCGTTTTGCGTTCTGCGCAATTTCATTCCAAGAAAGCCTTCTGGAAGCCCGTTTGGAAACACTTTTGGAAATTCCTTTGGATTTCGAGCAGAAATAAACACACTACCGTAACGTTCTGCTGCGCTTCGAAGGACACAATAACGATTTATCCCGATAGTTCGTCGCAGAATGGCTGATTGGGATCCGTCCCTCTATACCGGAATGCCTGACCGATTGGATAGTCCTGGGCCAATTCCGGAAGAATATTCTCGACAGTACCGATCTCTGACAAAGAACACAGTAGAAACCCATGGGCTAGAAACCCAACCCCCTACGACAACATGGAGTTCTGTAGCTCAAACGAGCCGGGTAGGAGCAACGTTTCTTAATAATCCAGAGTCCCATTCAATGCCTAAGCCTTCAATTCGTCCTTGGCCAACCTCAACCACAGCGTCTGGATCTGGTTTCTCTGGCGTGCAGGGGGCTGCAAATGAGCACACGTACGGAATGGCGAATGCAACGGGACGGAGCCAGCAAGAAGCACATCGAATGTTGCAGCCTCCTCAACAAAGAGTAGGGACCCAGCATGTGCATAACAATGGAAACCAATATCTCCCTATGGGACCATCAGCTTTCACCAGAGGACAACAGCCTGAAGTACAGCAACCATACCAGAATTTTCAGTTCCAAACTCAGTCACAGATTCAATCAGCAGCTCAAGCTCAGCAACGAAATACTCCCCTCCAGAGTTTGCAGCCATCTGAGTCAAGACAAAGTACTTCTGGCTCAAGAAGAGACAGACCTTCAGTCAAGCACCTAACCTGCTGGTGGTGGAATGAGAAGGGCCAGTGTAAATACAGTGTGGATGAATGTCTCTATGCACATCATAAGACAGGCAAGGTTGCCGACGCCCCAAGACAAGTGAAACCTGGAGGTAAGTCTCTTGTTCAATTTCTTTGCCATAGTGATGAAAGCAGATTCACTTCACTTTCCATATTCCTGTCACAATGTTTGTTTGCATGTTTGGAATCCGATTAGTCAGACGTCACCTTAGTATCGCTTCCACTTCGCTTCATATACATCTTCCTCTTCCTCTTCCTCCTCCATCCTTTCTTCTTCTTCTCTTTCTCAGCCACAACCCGTCTCCTCTGTACCGCGTTGATACACCGCACCAAGCCCCCGCTCCGCTTCTCTTACTACCTACCTGTATGGCACATTGCCCACGAAGTCCCAACTCCCCATGTAGGAGCCCGCGGGCTCTCATCTCCTCAGGAGAAATCAGGAGGTTGACACCCCTTGCCTTTATGTTTCTTCATCTCGATACGCTCACTCAAAAACTCATTAACTAAACGTTCCCCTTCCATGACGCTGACAGCGAGCTTGACAGAGCCCCCAGTAGCGGGCAGGAAGCTCGCAAGAGCCCTGCAGGAGGAGGAGGAGAGGAAGAGGGCACCAGAGCGAGAGGTGGGCTGTAAGTACAATTCAAGTCCCTCTGTAAAAGCAGTTTCGAACGCGTCCTCAACCGTTGCAACGCTGATTGCCTTCATCATTTGATCCAAAACACCTTCCATCCACCTAATTACAGCAGAAAAAACAACTAACATCCTTAATTTCCTCGCAGTCCTCCGAGCCCAAAATAAAGCCCTTCGCGAGGCTTACCTCGCTCTGCGGGAGACAACCTCGCAATCCCTCTCAACAGTCGTCACTATGCGGCAGTCTGTCACAAGACTGTCCGCAGAGGTGGTAAACGTCGAGAGGGACCGTGCGAGGCGCGGCCAGCTTTCCGCCACGCCCATAGGTGGCACAAATCAAGAAGACGCGCAGATGGCGCGCGCCCTGCGATCCGTGGATGACCAGGGTCTGCTTGCGGGCGTGGTGGAGGGGCAGGCGCGGGCGCGGGTGGCGCGGGTGGAGGAGACGTTGGAGGCGGTGGGGTTGGGGGAGGTTGTGGCGGAGGGGAGAAGGGGATGGTGAGTAGAGGGGGGAGATGTGAGGGGTTGGCTTCTTTTTTGTATAATTATATTTTTTTCTTTTTTCTTTTCTTTTCTTTTTTTCTTTTTTCTTTTTTCTTTTTTCTTTTTTTTCGTATGACTGGAGTGCAAGGGGTGTATGATTATGAACCACGAATTCAAATTATGAAACAAAAGTGAATTTCGTTCAGAAAGCAACTTACAGAGCCGGTATAAATAAATAGGAAATGGGGACAAGGTAGAAAGGCCAAGGTATTCTCTCAGCAGCGGCGGGCAGGTGCAAGAAAAGAAACAGAGGTAAAATGAGAATATCTCGTCATAATCTACATATCATGCCACACTCAAAATGTACTGGTAGCCAAGCGGCTTGCCGCATTTTTGGCATCCACTCGATCATCATCCTCTTCCTCAGGCAAACCAATCATTCCAGACCCGCTAAGGGAGCGGTTACGTGTCCTGCCTCCATTAGCCTCGCCTTCATACTCGCGAATTGGAGAGATAAAACTTCCACTGATGCTCCGACTTAAGCTGTCACCGCGGCGCGGTACACCACTCCACGCATCGCCCTTGGGGCCCTGGCTTGCTGCCAGACTAGCCCGACGAGCTGCAGGGTGCGATTCGCGACCTAGCCGGCTCAAGCCGCCAGAGGCATCGATTGCACGGATATCTGGCCGGATGCTCTCAAGAGTGCTGAGAGTGCGACGCTCAGCTTCTATTTCCCGGAGGGTGTATTCACGGATGCTGAGGAGCATATCAGATGTCGTACGCTTGAACCAGCGGCGTTTTTCTTGTAGGAGATTGGCGGTTACGCGTTGGGTTTTCTTGGTTAAGTATTCTTCGTGCGCCTGTGCGTCTTCGAGGGAGCTGATGGCCTCGTCAACCTTGTCGGATCGAACGGAGGTGCTTCCCTTTAATCTGTCAGCGGCGGCGCGTTTGCTACGCGCGGACTGTTGGGCTTGGATCAGCTCCCGGAGCAAGATGTGTCGGTTTGTCAGCGTCTCTTTGACGATAAACGCATCAGATGAGTGGTAGTTTAAAGGATCGCCAAAGGTGGTGGCCTCCGCAGTTCCTTGTGCAGCGTGGTAATCGCCTACAGCTTGAATCACTTTCCCGAGTTTACGATACGCATTAGCGAGACCTGGGTGGGTTTCTTGGACGTGCATCTGGCCCATTTTTACGCCGAGGTCTGATTCCGCGAGTGCTAGACCTAGAAACAAAGAGTTAAAAGTTGTTGTCATCGTGCGGAGCCTGCATGCTTACTTTTTCTTGCTTTCACAACACGGTCGACCTTCTGGCCTGTATCCATGGTACCCAAATAAAACAACTTGACAACCGGGCGCGCATCTTGCAGTTCTGGCGTATCGTCCGGCGGAGGAGCAAATTGTTTGAGAACCTTTCTCCGAACCCCAGTAGCTGGCTGCTTCATCCGAACGACAGGGCTGTACCCGAAATCACTCTCGACGAAAAGTATCATCTCATCATCTTGCATCAGGGCATCATTTGCACAAACATAGTTAAACCATCTCTGCATCGACGCTTTCACCCGAATCTCATCTTCATCCGTTCCGGCGCCGGCTGGAGTTAACGGAGGAGGTACGGCTGGAACGATGGCCTCAGGGTTCGAGGATATTAAATGATCGGCAAGCTTGATAAACTCGGAATGGGTTCGGCGAACGTCGCGGAATTGCGTTGTTCGAAACTTTGGTATGTTCGTCTATCACAATAATAGAATTTAGCAAAATCGCAAGGTTTTGATGCTAGAAAAAATGAGACATACGTGGACGTCAAATCGCAAGATAGGATCCTTCTTTCCAGTTCTCTCCAATCCCGTAATCTTAGCCTGTAATTTGTACTGGGGAGCATTTGGACGCGCTTTGTTTCTTGCTCCGGTTTGATATCTGGCCGAAACTTGTGCTCGTTGCTGAGGAGGTTGTTCATAATTGGAGGGAGGGTGGGAGGAATGTTCTTCGTGGACTTGGTCGTCGATCTGGGAATCTTGGAGTCGCTCAGATAGACCCTGCGTAGTAGACTCTTCGTCCTGCTGTCGTTCACCGTCTGGGCCATATGGTGATTGCTGGGGAGGTAACGGAGATGGAGGAACTTCAGATGCGGGGAACATCCGATCGGTTCGAGGAGAAGCCGAACCCCACGGGGATGAACCGACAGGATGTTCCGGATCTTGTGGAAGGGACGAATAGTCCATGGCGACCACACTTGGTTTTACTATATTTCAAGGGGGAATATCACTGCCAGACCACGGGGGGCTGCGGGTTCATAATAGTGAGGCCAGGTGGAGTTCTAGGCACCCAGGACAGTCGCGATGTTTGCCCTAGAACACCCGAGTTCAGAGATAGCAAATCGCCGCAATTCCGTAGTAGAATTTGATGATTGTCAGGATGCATCAGCCTAAAACAAGCTTCAAAAGTGCGCGGATGATGTCCACGAAGGTAGAGATCGTAGCCATAGTGTCGTCGGAGGTTGAGTGGATGCGGATGGCGCTAGTGGCGCTTGCAACCCACCTTAGCGCCAGCTTTTAAACTTCGCGGGTAAATTCTGGCAGAACAATAATAATTAATAACTACAAGAGCTCATCTTCATTATTTCTAGGCAAAATAGAGCAATTCCTGGGTTAGCTCCTCAATTTGTAGCCAGACGGGGTATTTCTATGCCTCAATTGGTTATATAACATTGGGACGTTGATTTTTAAACTCCAATGTCGAGTTAACATCCATTGCGGCCACCTACATTCGTCATTCTTGATGCCAAATATGATTCCAATTGGTTTACCCTCAAGATGGATCTGCTCAAGATGTATCCGGGATACTAGGATATTGCCAGCAGTATCCTCTCGATATCGCCAGTCAGTTCTGCGACGGTATTCAACTGATAGTGGCCAACCAGCGGAGGGGGCAGCAGACTTAGACAGAGTTCGGAATATCGGGATCATTGCTCATATCGATGCTGGTAAAACAACGACTACAGAGCGAATGCTCTATTACAGTGGTATAACTAGGAGAATTGGGAACGTCGATGATGGGTCCACGGTGACTGACTTTCTTCCGGCCGAAAGAGCTCGGGGCATCACGATTCAATCGGCCGCTATCACTTTCGATTGGCCTCCTAGACCATCAGAACAACATTCAATCCCAACGCCTAAAGAGTTAACCGCGAAAGGGCTTCCCAGATCGGCTGCCCCACATACCGTCAATCTTATCGACACTCCCGGACACGCAGATTTTACTTTTGAAGTTTTACGGTCTCTCCGGATCCTTGATGGTGCAGTTTGTATTCTAGATGGGGTGGCAGGAGTCGAAGCACAGACAGAGAAGGTCTGGAATCAGGCTTCAACATACCATATCCCACGTATTGTATATATTAATAAACTTGATCGCGATGGAGCTGCTTTTGGGCGAACTGTCCAGGAAGTAGGATCGAAGTTAGATAGCTGGCCTGCCGTCTGCCAAATCCCATGGTTTGAATCTGCCTATGGTCGATTCCAGGGCGTTGGCGACGCGATCTCTCTTCAAGGTCTCCTCTGGCAGGAAGGTGGTGATGGCAAGAAAATCGCAGTGTCAACCTTGGCTAAGCTAGAGAAAATAGATGAGGTGTTTGCATGTGAGTTAAAGAAAGCGCGGGTTGCTCTTGTTGAACTTCTGAGCGAACATGACGAAGTGATGGTTGAAAATTTCTTGGAACATAACGAGGATCATCTGGCAGTCAAGCCAATTGAGATCCTGGAGAGCCTCCGAAGATGCCTCCTCGACTCAGAACAGACAAGAGTCATTCCCGTGTTCGCCGGAGCAAGCTTCCGAAATATCGGCGTTCAACCTCTGCTTGATCAGGTAGTGAACCTTCTTCCAAGTCCCAAAGAACGCCCGGATCCAGAAATTAGTATTGGCCCAGTCAAGGGGGGTTTGCAAAGCCTATTAAATGGCGACCTCATTTTGCAAGAGAACAAGAAACTTGTCCCAGAAAAGAAGAAGAAGCATGTTTCCCCTTACTCGGTGGCCCAAACAGCCATTGAAAAGCTTGAAGGATGCGCTCTTGCTTTCAAGGTAGTCAGCGATGCCAAGAGAGGCGTCCTGGTTTATGTTCGAGTTTACTCTGGGTCAATCAACCGAAGCGCATCTCTGTTCAACACGCACCTTAACCTATCAGAACGTGCTCCTCGCCTTCTGAAAATGTACGCTTCGGAGGCGATGGAAGTCCAATCAATCCCAGCAGGGCATATCGGTGTTATAGTTGGACTGAAATATGCACGGACTGGCGATACACTGCTTTCGTACCCAGGAATCAAGACCGGTCCTCCAGAACCGCTCAATAAACTACAACTACGTCCGATAGCTGTTCCACCACCGGTGTTCTTTGCGAGCCTTGAACCTCACAGTCTAAGCGAGGAAAAGCACCTTCATGAAATGTTAGCATTGCTGCTACGAGAAGACCCTAGCCTCCACGTTACAATTGACGAAGACTCTGGCCAAACCCTATTGAGCGGGATGGGTGAGCTGCATCTTGAGATCGCTAGGGACAGGCTAGTTAATGACTTCAAGGCCAAAGTCACTATGGGTCAAATTGAAATCGGTTATCGTGAATGCATATCCGAAACGTCACCCTCAATAACTAGAGTCTTTGATAGAGAAATTGCGGGTCGGAAGGGGAAAGCAGGCTGTGCAGTAGTGGTTGAACCCTTCAATCCAGACGAATTCGGTGAAGAACACATTAAAGCGCACGAAAATTTTCTTCTTGATGAAAAGCACGATGGAAATCGCATCACAATCCTCGCCCCGGGTCTTATCTCCAACCATCATAGCTACAAAAAGCCGAAAGTATCGGAAGACATCCTTCCCAGCCACCTTGATCTCGCCGCGATCAAAACATCCCTATACAACGGCTGCCTTGCCGCGCTATCCCGCGGCCCCAAAAACTCATTCCCCCTCCACAATACACACGTGACGGTCACATTCGATCTAAACACCGATTTGTTCGGAAATGAGACTACACCATCTGCTTTATCCGCCGCCGCACGTCTCGCCACTCAGTCTGCCCTGAAGGAGGTGGCATCAACAGCGGTCCTCATGGAGCCGGTCATGCATGTAACCATCAGTGTCCCAGAAACGAACATGGGCGTAGTCGTACACGACATATCATCGGCTCGAGGTGGGCACATTCTATCTCTCGACGATGACGTCGAGGCGTCTTCTTCACCACCAGCATCAAGTAATGACGATCTACTCCCAATCGATGTTTCCAAAATCTACGTACCCCCCGACCAATATGGATCGACATCAACAGCTGCTAGTAACAACAACTTGAATCCAATGCGGACTATAACCGCTAAGGTGCCACTGAAGGAGATGGTAGGGTATCTGAAGCATTTACGGAGTTTAACTGGCGGGAGGGGAACGTTTGTTATGAGCGTCGATAGGTTTGAGAAAATGGGGAGCCAGAGGGAGAGGGCGGTTTTGACAGGTTTGGGGAGGATGTAAAAGAGTTTTGTAAAATATGTCTTTCTTCTCTTCTCTTTTCTTTCTTCTTTCCTCCTATTCTTTCGTTTGAACGGTTGGCTTGTTGTGCTATGTATATTCTGCATTTTTTCCTAGCATTGCCCTCAATGGACCGGAAGATGAATCGAAAAGGTGAGTTATCACCCATTCATTTGCAGCAGAATATGTCGAAGGAGCATTCTTTCTCAGACTTCACGATCTCGTATAGAACAAATGACAAGTTCTCGTTCTCTACATAGGATATCTAGTTTGAGCTATTAGAATCAGATTAAATTTTGAATTCCTCCAGAGCGCTCGCTACTTACCATCAAAGACTGAATATCAACAAACGAGCGAACAATCTCAATACCAATACCATATTCGCCATCTTTGAACCCGGACCTCTTGCAACTGCATAGTCGGGATAGCTTCAATTGCCTAGACGGCCGCATAATGCCATCAAACGTATCCGAGAGAAACAAGCTTCGGTCAAACCATCCTCAGAAATCTACAGGCCCACTTATGTTCCAGAATCCGCTGCACGGGCTGAAGGGGGAGTACTTACCAGACACTTAATTAGTCGCAGGGTCTCGATATCCCGCGGCCGTCCACTAGACTCTTAGTCTGTCTTCCTTGCCGTGCATAATCTTGGGACTATATGAAGCGCCTAGTGTGGTGCGTGCCGCAAGCCTCCTACCCTAATAGGGGCATTGCGGGAAACGCGTTCAGAGGACTTATGGGGAAGGATTTTGAAGGGATTAAGAAAACCTTCGCCGAATATTTATTGGGAATATCGTCAGATAGTCTCATACCCTCGACAAGACTAAGAACATTATGTTTTATATGCAAGTATACTCGGATATCTTAACACCTCATACCAAGAAGTGTAGGGATGAGGGACAGTTTAATCAAGGCACAATAATAAAGAAGACCAGGAAGAAGAGACCCAAAACCACTATCATCTAGACAGAAGTAAAAACAGAAGGAAAAAAAAGACGCAGGGGAGAGAAATCCGATTCAGCCCATTAATTCTAACTTCGAACAAGAAAGAAAAAGAAAAGAGCACAAAAAAATCTACCAATTATCATCCCAACCACCCCCACCCCCATCATCCTTCCCCGTTGTGCCCGTCCCACAGCTGCCAGTGCCAGCTCCAGCTCCAGCACCAGTACCACCGCCAGAAGGAGCTCCTCCCCCACCACTCCCTCCCCCTCCCCCTCCTCCTCGCATCGCCGTTGTCCCAATAGCTCCAGACCTCCTCCTCTCCTCACCTAACGCTGCAAAATCATCCCAAAAGTCCTTTCTCTCAGGCTCCAATGTTCGTCTTTGGGATCCAAAGGCAGATCCGGGCCCACCTGACGCCGATCCTGATGATGGTGGCCCTTCGACAAAGCGGGTGAGGGCGTCAGCGGCGCCGCGTGTACCAGTTGCTACATTTCGTGACACCTCTGCGGCGGCGAGACGGGCTTGTGCGGCTAGGTCGGTTTCGGCGAGCTGTTTCGTCTTAATTTGTTAGCAATTTTTTGAATGGATTTTCTTTAATTAAGTTAAGGGAAGGGGAGGGGAGGGAGCGTCGCAGTATTCAAGCAGATAAGGGGACGGAAGGTGTATTCAAGAAACGAGCAATATAAAATATAATGAGAATACACACCGTCTTCGCAGCGGGTTGCAAATACGAGTCATTAACAGTCTTTGCCCCCTTCCCCACCGTAGTCGCAAACCAACCCAACCCCTTTGTGAGCACCGCAACGGGATCATTCTGAAAATCATTTAACCCCGGAATCACGCCATTACCATCTTGCTCGTTCCGCGTAGAGGCAGAAGGGGGCGGCATCCCGCCCCCGAACCCCGTAAACCTCCCACCCTGCGACGGCGCCACATTCTCCGGTCTATTCGCATTTTCTGCCCCCAGGGATGCAAAATATGCCTCATTGCGCTCTTTCTTTCCCGCACCCAGCGCTTCAGGGGATATAGATCCACCGGGTGCTTTACCCTTCCCACTACTTGAAACAGACACAGATGGCGTACTCGCTCTCGACGTCTGCATCTTCTTCTCCTCGCCAGGCACATACTCCCTACCCTCAACCTTCGCCGTCAACCTTGCCTTCCACTCATCTCCGACATCCCCATCATAGCGTTCTTTGATAGTCGAGTCCTCAAAGGTACGCCCCTCCGCGACGTTGGCCGCATGTTCGTCGAAGAAGAGCTTCCAGGCCTCATTGCCGCCGAGTTCCATGCGCTGGGTCTCACCGAGCTTGAAGGCGTCCATTGTTATGCTGCGGACGAAGGAGATGTGCACGCCCAGGCCGCGGTGAGTGCCGGCGCAGTTTAGGCAGATGAAAGTGCCAAATTTTGGGGAGGCCTGCAGTGTTGCGGAACGGGGTAAATGTGTTAGAATGGATATTTTGTAGCAAGGCACGTATATAAATCGGAAATGAAATGAACATGGAAAGGAAAAAAAGCATACCCATTGAGGCGACGGCGCGCCGCAATCACAACATCGATCATTGCCCTTGGTTTTCTGAATGAGTAGGAGCTATATTCAACTCGAGCCGCGCGGCACAATTCACCGTTCCTGCAATGTCAGCGAATCAATGCTTTGGTTCAAGTTGTATGCCACATAGTGCTACTGCCCCAAGCAAGAAAAAAAATGATAAAGCGGATAACACTGCAGAACAAATAAAAAAACAGCATACCTTACCCCTCGTCTCCGGATCCACCTCCCAAATCTTCGACATCTTCTCTTCTTCTTCTCTTTCCCTTCCTCACATACGCACACACGCACACACGCACTATCTCACTCCGTCTCTCTCTCACACACTTTCGTCTCACGTTTATGATAAAAAGGACCCCAGCCCAACCCCAACAAACAGATATCCCTCTGCCCCAGAGGCAGACTTACCCCTCTAGACAACTTCCCTCAACAACACGTTATAGATATAATATAATCTTCCTCACCCTCCCGTCCAATCCTACACACACAAACCGCTAGCGGATGTTTTGGGCACAAGCACGGAGGGCTAAGTTTAGGGGGGAGGGCGGGAGGCTGCGGCAAGTCGAAGCCCAGGGAGCCGGAAACCGGAAATGATGGAAAGTGGTATCGCGGGAAACGGAAGCGGAGGCGGAGGCGGAGGCGCAAGCGGAAGCGGTAGTGGGGGACGGGGATTGTGGTGGGTGGGGAAGTTGTCCGAGAGAAGATAAAAGAAAGAAAAGAAAATCTGACCGTGGATAAATTTCGCTGTCCTGTCAGGTTCTCCTCAACGTCTTTTCTTTTGATGTTCCGTTTTCAAATTCCAGTCAGTGTTCAAACAAAAAGTGCGACTTGGCTTGCATTCTTGTCCTTCACTCTTGTTTTCGGTTTTTTTTATTCCAGTAGCTGCCGTGCGTTGGTCGTCGTTGATATAAGGTTTAACTACTCCGTAGTTAATTAACTTTCGCAGCTTCCCATAACTTTAACTTATAGAGAACTAACTTATTAAGTACTCTGTAACAAAACAGGGTTTTCTCCGTAGCTGCTTTCCCAGATCCTCAACTTCGCCCTCCACTTCCCTTGTCGCAGTCCCAGATGGCTTCAATTGCCGCGCCTCTGTCGCTCTCTGTCCTGAGGTCTATCTATCTTGTCTGAGTGCGCCAGGGAGGCTAGTGGGTGTAGGGTCTACGTGGTTGATCTGAAGGGGGTGGCAGCTCTAGACCAAAGTTCACTGCCCTCGATTTTTCTTCGCCCCTGAAATATGTTAAACAAACGGCAAGGAGGTATGGACACGATAAATTACACAGGTGAATCCAAAGAGCGAGAAACGAGTGTGTAATGGGGCTGGTGTGAAGGTGTGAGGTTGGTTTATAAGTTGTGTCGTTAAGCTCCTTCAGCTCTGATTGGTTCCCCCACCAGGCGTAGGGGCGGCTAGTCCCAGCACCGGCAGATATTTATGGTCTGAGGGAAGTCACATTTAAGAAAAGGAGGGTAAACGAGGAAATAATACAAATTCATAATTTGATTGAAAATATCTAAGATACATCGTAGGAAGTGGGCCATGAGGCCCAAATTGGGAAATTCTGCAATGGTGCTTTTTCCTGCTTGTCGATTGTCGATCGTTGAATTGCTTTTTTTTTTCTTTTTTCTTTTTTTTTTTTTTGTTTTGGTCTTCTTTCTCTTTTCGCGTTGTTTGAAATGGATACTTTTCCTGTGCGTTTTTTCCCTCGTTGGCATCCATCCCAAAGACCACCCTCTTGTAACGAAACCAGGAGAGGCAAGGGAAGGGGGCCTGGATAAGAAACGGCAAAAACAGTTCCAAGAGTCTGTAAAAAACAACATTTCACCATTTCAGCAATTTCATACAGCCCATTAACAGAATATTCATCAAAAAGCCTCAATTAATTGTCATATGCCTTGTTGTGGACCCCTCTTTTCAATCCCCCTATTCATTTTTCGTCGGGTAGGGCTACAGTCTTGTTGATTTAAGCGGCGACGGGGACGTCCGCGGTGGCTTCAGCGGGAGCCTGCTCTCCACCAGAGACGTCGTCCTCTTTGCCGGGGCTGTCGATAGCAACTTTGACCGCGATCTCACGTCCTTCGATTTCCTTGCCGTGCATCTCCTCAACAGCCTTGGCCTGGAGAGCCTCAGAGCCTAGAGTGACAAATCCGAATCCGCGGCCCTTGCGGGGCTCACCACGCGCGAGGAGCTTCTTGACCATAAAGCGTGGGATGGGTCGAAGGGCAATCTTAGCGGAGACGGGTTCGTAGGCAGCGAAAAGTTCCTTCAGCTGTAGAGTGGATGATGGTTAATATTTCCCTTAAACTACTAATTAGATTTACAGTGATGTCGAATCATAGTCATACCTTCTCCTCGCTAAGATCGTAAGGAAGGTTGGCAACCATAACCTTAGTCTTGGATGGGATACCATCTTCCGGTGGGCCACGCTGCTTGTGCACACGAGGACGTCCCTTAGCGTCCTTGGAGGCATCGCCAGTCTCGTTAGTCACATCAGCCAAGGGGGTTCCCTCAGTGGTTCCTTCCGCGTTCTCTCCATTCTGCTCCTTTGGCTGCGTCCGCTTCGCGTCAGTTAAATGGCATGTAAAAGTGTGGGAAGTGCGGAAAGTGTGTGCAGTGTTGGATGTCAAGAAACGGAAGGCACCGTTATCATGGTGGCGTGTGGGTAGAACGTGGATGACAAGGATAAAATAGGAAAGAGTTACATACCGCACGGCCACCACGGCCGAATCTGCCACCACGGCCACGTCCACGTCCACGACCGCGACCAGAGCCTCTCTTGCGACCTTCACCTCCACTAGCGCCCTCACCACCGCTAACAGCCTCGCCCTTGTTCTCAGCGGGCTCGGGCTTGCGGGCAAGTTGGACTGACACCTTTCGCTCAAGGATTTCCTTGCCAGAGAGCTCAGCAATGGCAGCCTGGGCCTCGTGCGCGGTAGCAAGATCGACGAAGGCGTATCCAACAGGGCGGTTGGTACGAGGGTTCACGGGGATGGAGGTGTTTTCACTATAGTGGTGTAGATATGTTAGTTAGATACCATCACAATCAGACGCATGTGATAAGGTGTCTTTGTTCTTTGTGTATTTTGTGCATTAAAAATGACAGCATTCTGCATCTAATCCAGTTGCCAACCCCTCAGACAGAGCAAAAAAAGTTCAGCCATGCCACAGTTATGATAGTGACAATAATCTTCACTTTTTTCTCTTGGTGTCGAATTTGTTATTCAAATAACAGCATTTAACTGTGTAGCACAGCGTACACAACAAGTTCTCTTTTTTTGGAGAAATGGAATACGATGCAAAGGAGATAAAACAAAAAAAAAAAAAAAAAGAAAAAGAAAAAGAAAAAGAAAAAAAAAAGAAGGAAGGTACTAACATGGTGTAAGCCTTGAAGAAGTCCTTGAGTTCCCCCTCTGTGGTCGCATATGCGAGATTCCCAATATACAAGCGACGTCCCTCATCGGCACTGGCAGCAGTGGCATCGGTCTGAGCAGCAGCTGCGGGAGTAGCGCCATTGGTAGTGTCGTTGATGGAGACAGCGGCCATATTATCGGCCAGTTCGTTGGCAGTCGACATGATGTTGGAGGGCTGAGTGTGTGTGGGTAACGGAACACGGGGGGGGGTGATTGATTGAAAAGGGGGTGTATGTACCGCTGCGAGATTGAACTCAGGAAGCTGAGCTGCCTTTGGGGACTTGAAATGAGGGGGTGGAAGGGTAGCTTAGTGCCCTAGATACTGGAGAAGATGATGAAGATGGGGGGGGGAGTTGGAGCTTGCTCGTATGGAGATGGTTGTCGACGTGGTGAGAGGGAGGAAGAAGAAGAAGAGAAGAAAAGAAGACAGGGAAGAAGCAACCGACCGACCGCAGCAGAGATAGACGGGGAAAAGCCAAAGCGCCGCGCCAAGACCCGCTGCACCGCCAAAAGGGGACCAAATTCCCCAAACAGGCAAGGCCGGCCCTGGCCCCTCCTTACCTCAGCCACGGTTTAGCCGCCAAGCCACCCTGCTAGTACAGTTCCATACGGTATTATACGGCTCTATGGTAATAATTGTCGTTGAATTCTGCCGGGTAGGTTGGCTGCCAAGGCCCATTGGTGGCTTTTCTTTCTGTAATACCGGATACCTGATCTCCACCCAACCCGCAGACCTGACAAAGGGTGTTTATCTCACCGCATCCTGCCATTCCTCGTCTTTTTACTCTTTAGGCAACTTCCGTGCCACAAACAACTGTTGAGTCTCCTCTGAACTCTCTGGGTTTATCTCGGACTGGGATATCATACAGTGTCTACCTTACATGTACTTGTTATGGTCACCTTTGTGACATGGAATGAAAAGGGAATAAATGGAGACAGAAACTCCCAGTCCAGTGCAGTTGGAAACATTGCTATGGACTGTACATGTACATGTCCCACCTCCTCCCTATATCCATTTTCAAATCACCAACATGTCAACCCCTGTACTCACTCACACTGCCCTCACTCACACTGTCCTCAATCACACTGCCTTCACTGCAGTTGCACACAGGATCCCGCGGCTAAGGGGGTTTGTGCCATCCCAACCGACGCAGGCTGGGATGAGGAAGGGGTTTTCTCTCTCTTTCTTCTTTTATTTTAGCGGGAGATATATATTTATATATATATTTGTAGATCGTGCTCCAAATCCTGGCGCCCAGATCCGGGTCTTGCATGCCGCTCTGATTCCAGGGGGGAGCAATTTGCTGGTCAACCAGCAAATATTCGCATCGCTTCTCGCGCGCGCCCCAGGTTTAACTATTGCTGGGCAATGGAGAGGGAACCTTTCCGTCATGCTGTTGGTGTGACAGCAACAGCTCAAAAAATCACTCTTAAATCATCCACGTTTTATATTTCTCCATGCCGGATACCGTCTGCTGCTTTTGGCTTTTTGCAAGCGTTTTCTCAGCCGTGAAATGCGGCTTTGCGAACTGGACTTTCATCAAGTATCAACAACATCTACATGATCCTGTCGAAATGCCTCTAAGTTCTGGCGAGCTATCTATATACTCTCTGGAGTTCCTGTCCGCTTCCTGTTTATCTAGCTTTTTTCCAGAGTATTGCCTGTTGCGGACAATACTTTTTTTTAATTTGCCCTTCCTCCATTCTTTCTTTTTGCTTCAGGATAATGTTGCTGAAGCACATCGTTTTCACCATATGCGGGGTACGTGAATGTGGTTACCTGCATAAACATGTACAGAAGATCCAAAACTACCTGGCTTGCTGATTGTTGAGCATATCAAAATACTGGCTTGGTTCCTTTTGGGCAAGGTAATTAATTGTATTGGGCCAATAAATCAAGCTCATCCAGCTTGATTTTGAAATATCTTGATAATTTACCTCCAGGTATAATTGAATGGGAAGTGGAAGGTTAGAATCTACATGAACACCAGAATTGCTGTGTTATGCAGTAAATTTGTCTGTGAATGTGTTTATTCTTATAATTGAATATCTGTTCACACAAATTTCTTCATTCTTTGTTAGAATGCATTCAGTCACTGATTCCTTCTTTTGTGTTCTAACTGTCATCTTCTTTTCCTCTCTTCAATCATTGTCATAACTGTTCACCTGAGTCTTCTTTCTGTGTCTATATCATATTCCCACCTGAACTTCCTTAGCTTTCAAGCTGGTTTTTCAACAATACCTCTACTTGCAAATAAATAAGTGATCACCATGAATGAACAAATTCCTCTCATAGTCCTCGATTCTGATGATGAAGATGACATTCAAATCACCAGTGTTTCTGTGTGTGCTAAAAACAGAATCAACTCGGATCCAAGATGCTCCCAAGGAGTCTCTAACTCCAGCAACTACCAGCAGATAGGTTAGGAAGTCCTATACCCCACTCTCCCGGTTTTGCAAGGCCTTATCTAACCCTTACCAAAAAATATATTAGGCAGTTCTTCCGCTGCGAATGGCGTGGATGGCCAGCAAGTAACGGCAACTGGACAAACTCAAGGCGTTGCCCATCTGCTCTACCCAAGCACGGCAGAATGGCTTCCTCAATCTACTACCATTTCCATCGAGCGCAGCCCTTACTTTCCGTTGCCCTCCCCGACGATCTCCCTTTCGGTTTCAGGAAATGCCAGTGAAAATAATCAGGCCGCTTCTCCATATCCAGCGCGTGCCCTTGCGGAATCCATTGCATCTCCCAGACATGAAAAAAAAGCTCAACAGGTGGTTTCATCCGGTTTACCGTTTACGAAACAGTTCTTTACGGACATGGCGGATGCCATAGCACATGTTTTTCCCTATGGCGAATTGGCGCGCAAGTACAAATGCAGCGTCGGCCAGGTAAATCGTGCTTTAATTGCCGTTGTGCTAGATCCGTTGATGAAGAGAAATGGGGGACTAGTGAGTTGCCCAGACAGCAACGGGCAGGAAGGGGAGCAGGAGGAACGTGGGCAGACTCCTGTGCAAGAGACATGGAATTCTCCCAATGTTCTGATAAACAAGTGGAACAAACGGCATCAAGAAATGGTGTCTGTGCTGCAGAGAGAAAGCGAAGGGAATGGTCTGCCATTCGAATTCGATCAGAATCTCGTTGCGGCATCGGGGAACGCGGAAGCTTATTGGAAAGCGAGGAACGCTGCGTTTGATGTTCATAAAACCTTTCAGGATGCAAGGCAGAAAGGGAGGGCTGAGGAAGGGTCGGCAGAGCAGGAATCGGGACATAAAAATCTACAACAGCAGTTGGAGGATGTGGTAGAAGCTGGAGAGCCAGAAAGTCAATTTCCTCAGGCTGAGATTGAGACGGCAGCTGGAGCGGCTCTTTCGCTGCAAGAGAAGGAAGTCCCAGAGGACGGATCTAGTGCATCTAGTCGTAAGCGCGCAAGGAGTTCATCGGAAACTGTCGACGGAAAGGCTGCTCCGGCTCATGGTAGGGACAGCAGCCCATCTACAGCGACCTCGCCCGTGCTCTACCAACTATATTCACCTCCCCCATCGAAGAAAGCAAAAACAATAACATACCAATCGACCCCCACCCAGACATCGCCGGAAGAATCCGTCGGCTTGACGCCTAGCTTGCACCATCCCAATCCTAAACGTCCAGTGGCCACCGACGGGTCGTCTGACACATACATACTCAACAAATTCCCCTATAGCCGGAGAAATAATACAGACGACCATCCTCCTCCAACCCCTTCCCCACCCTCATCCGCTTCCTCGACTGGATCGTCACAATCTCCAATCGCCCAAACCCCAACACCACTCCCCAGATCTAGATCTCTCCCCAACAGCCACACCACCATCACCACCACCAACAGCCTACTCCCCAATCCCAAAACCTCCACCCCTCGACCAAACCTCTTCACCCGCTCCACGCACCGCCACGCAGTCACGATCGATAAATTCGGCAACTACCAGCGCGAAAACCAGAACCGGCAAAAGAACCAGTACTTACCTCCATCCTCATATATGAGGGATAACACCCTCCTCCCCCGCCCCGATGACCTCCTTCGTAGACCACCCGCCAGGACTCAGCGCGAACCGACGGATAGCGGTGACGAATGGGACGTTTATGACCCGTACTATCACGCAGGGGCTGATGAGACGACAAGAGTGTTTACGGAGGGGTTGTGGGGGGAGTTGCTTGAGAGGTTTGGGATGGAGAAGGGGCAGGGCAGGCGAGAAAAAGGAAGAGAGCGGGAGTTAATGGGCTTGGAGTTTGGGCTGGCGCAGATTGAGGTGAGCGGGAAGGGGAAGGGGAAGGGGGGGATGCTTGGTGATTTTGGCGGGGATGTGAGTGGGAAAGGCAAAGCTGTTGAGGTGAGAGGTGGGAGCCGGGGGGATGGGGAGGGGGAGAACGAGGATGGGGATGGGGATGATGATTATGATGATTAGAATGCTGCTGGAGAAGGGCATGGGAGGTGGGAGAGCGCGTGAGGCGGAAAATTGAGACGGGAAGATCGTGGGATGAATAGACTGTGGGGATGCACCGTGGGCTGTAGCTGCTGAGTGTTCAGGTTTTGTGGCTTAGAAAGTGGGAGGATGGCGAACTTTTTTTTGTATGTTTCTTCCTACTTCTGGGATACGATGTAGATGTGCCCCTGGATTTTATCTGAGCTTGTTTTACTAGGCACCTACTTACCTGTGTGGGTAGAGTTGTTATGTGAAAATACGGACACGGAAATGATTGAGTTGCGAATGAACATGTTGTTAAGTTACCTGGAGCAGTTAATAGAAATAAAAAGATCTGACAACCTGGCTTTCCCCCCTGATCTATGAATTTCTGAAATGGTATCTATCCTTTTGGAATACTTTCATGCAATCCTCATGAGTTTTCCTATCAACTTTAAACAAGATGCCAGATATGCTTGAGAATGGAAAAAACAAACTCGTCAGATCCTCCCTCCAAAGAGCAAAATGGGAGAAAAGTAGGTACTGCACATGTACCTGGGTATATTGCATACATACATGCTTCGCGTGGGAACAAGATACGTACGCTAAAACCGAAAAACATAAGCATAAACGACACAGATCATGAACGAAAATATGGACCTCAAAGAAAGGAGACAATCATTTTTCTTTCCCCCCTTTCACCCATTTCACTGTCGCTCGCATTTCTTCCGGTATAAAACAAAAGAAAAAAGAAAATCAGACTTCAGTAGAAAATGGACATCGCAAACCAACAATGGAAGATACAACCAGCGCTTCAAAATGGTGGCATATCCGTTAAAACGTACATGAGAAAATTAAAACACACTTCCGGCGGGGGGTTGTGTACTCGTAACATATATATTAAGGGGGACAAGAAAAGAAGACACCTGCAGCAAAAAAAAAAAGAGAGAAGAGACAAAATAGAAAATCATTTTATATTTTATTCACTTCAGATCAATCAACCAATACAACCCACCCCTACCGATCCGCGTACCGATCATTAAAACTCCCCGACGCCTGTGATCGATGCCCAGCCCCATACGCACCAGTATAGCTGGTATCATAATCATGCAAATAGCTACTGCGACCAGCATCACTGGCGCCCGGCAGGGGGGTGCTATTTACACCACCATCGTGGTCCCTCGTGGGGTCATACATGGGGGGTGCTGCTGCTGCTCCATGCGGAACTCCGCCCATATCGTCCGCCTCGCTGTTATGTAGTAGCGTATACTCGTCGTCTGGGTCTCGGCGGTATCCGAGGGATGATGATGAGGGTCCGCCGCCCGTTCCTTCTGTGGAGCGTCGGCCGGAGCGGAATTCGGCGTCCCGGTCGTCTTCATCTTCGAAGTCGTGGGCGGGATTCGAGGAGAAGGCGGCTTTGGAGTGGGCGGCGAATGAGGGGTCGGAAGAAGAGCCTTCGTAGGGCAAGGTGCCGCTGCGCCGGTATTCTGAGAGGTTGCGGATGGACATGTAAGAGGTAACGCAGAAGAGCAGGCTGGTGGGAGGAGGTGGAGGAGAATGTGAGTTAGTTTTAACGTTGAGTACATTCTCAGTGGCTGGGAAGAATTTACAAAGCCCTACTTACCATACTATCACGCCTAAGACGGCAGTTCCTGTGCTCAGGTTGCACTTTGCGGGGGTGCCAAATTTGAACGCATCGCAGCCACTCTTGCCCTCTTTCTCCTTATCCTCGTCATCATCTTTATTGCCTCCACTTTTGCCTGCGGCGACGTAAGATGCAACAGCCACCCATGAAGCAAACCAGAGGATCCCGAATAGCACATCGAGAATTGCGAAAGCATACGCATTGCCGAACCTTCGTGTTCGCGGCCATAGGGGCACTGCGGCTAGGTAGATAAGGGCGGGGGCGGTGATCCAACACTACATGGCTCCCCCCAAAAAAAAAGAAAAGGGGGGAGACAGTTAGCAATTGAGTCCCTTTTGGAGCTAGAGCAACCGGAGTTTCTGCTCCTAATAGCTCTTTGGATTTTCCTCCCTGGGTAAATCGCACATACCAGAGCAAAATAGTACGCCGTCCGACCATCTGTGCTTCCCTTTTGTGTGAACACGCCGATGGTAAGGGCCCAGCCCAGAAACACGACGAAGCCCTGGAAGGCATGAAGAAGCATCTTCACCCTAGGGAACTGAAGTGACCCAAACATAATGAAGGGCTAACTGTATGTTGTGGTATGGTATATAAAGTGGTCTGTGTAGCCCCTCCTAATGGCCGTCTTGTAAACTGCTGGTATGTTCTCCACCCCGTATATGTATCCCAAACCGAATACGCTCGCTTTAGTACGTTATTCGCTCGTAAAACGATAGCGATAATTATACAAACGGTTTTGCTGTAGGGTGTTAGGTATTAGATAGCCGTTCTGGTCAATGAATGAGGGTAAATATGTAATGCGCTTGCTCGTTTGTGTTATCGACGTGGGTAAAAATAAGGCAGAAAGATAGCTAACTAACTTAGCTGCCAGGAACAAGGTCAAAAAAGTAGGACGGACAAAGCGAAAGAAGACGTGAAACAGGAATGACAATTTAACAGTCAATCAGGAGCTCATCCCTACTGTAGAGAATAGAAGGGAGGGGTGTGTGAGAGAGAGAAAGAGAGAAAAGCGATGCCTGGTGGTTCTGTGACCGTGTCGGGGTTGGTGGTGAGGCTGAGCTGTGTCGGAGCTTGCGGCGGCGGAAATCCCAGGATTGTTTGTTTGTTTATTAGGGCTGGATGTCGGCGGTTTATTAGTTATAGATCTACCTAGTCCAGGCAGGGCAGCTGAATCCATAGCAATTTACAGCGTACTCTTCTCCGCTCGATACGACACCAGGGCCTACTCTATAATCTTGACTGTTGTTATTCTTTGCTTTCTGTGAGCTACTCACTGCGTAAGGATCTTGAGATGTGAAACGGCAGGTTGATTCAAGCTGTGTGCGTTTTTTGCCTGCAAACTTCAACTTATTTACTTCACGTCAACCTCCACGGCAACCCCTGACTAACGACCTTTTCAAACGGGATTGTCAACAGGGCAATCAATCACAACTAAGATACGCTTGGAGGGTTCTATAGTAGCATTCCAAGACAAGGCCTAGCATTATTCTTATGCTTATAGAGATTGCAGCTCGACGTCGTCAACCGGGAAGTTAGTTTACGACGGCGATTTTATGCTTAAATACGGTTAATATCACTAGCACTCAAAATTCTTCATCCAAAGCAGTATCCTGGCCGACCTCAAAACAAGCCAAAACACAAAATGCATTGTGCCCGTACCAATTCCCCGACGAACATACAACAAAGAGGAATTGAATAGATACACCCGAAGTCCACAATGGCAAACAAATAATAATAATATAATCATGAAAAATAAACCAAAAAAATTCTGCTGTGATGCAATCTGACTAGCTTAAGTCAAGTTGGTTTCAGACCTTGTCTATAAATAGATCTGCATACAATTCTCCTCGAAACAACCTCCGCCAAAATTCATCAGCGCAACAGGGCTATTCATCCGATCCATGGCTTGCCTCATATGATGTCCAGGCACGGATTCTATCTTGTTTCCCCTTAACATTCGTTCCTATTCTCGCCGAGTTTCAAGCAACATTCAGGCTGTCAACCCTTTCTTGAAATCTTTGATGTGGAAAGCAAAGTACATGTACATGTACATTGCCTTCAAAATTTCTTTGACTGTTCATCTGTCTGTATTTGATATATTTTTATTCTTATTATATTTTGTTTTTTGAGAAATCTTATGTGTTTCTCACAATTTCTACTGAGCTTTCGCCTGACTGTCTGTTAATCTCAACGTGAACATTCAAAATCTGTTTTTACTCAGATGCGATGCTGTCTGACATGAAAAAATAAATAAATACCTCTTCTATGCTGGTATAATGTAATCAACCACCTAATGCTCATTTCCACCTAACACTCGCCTTTGTAAATCAATTATAATCAACTTTAAATGTTAATTGTAAGGGGCCTACGCCGAATAGTTCGGCATTAAGATATAGGTCTTATATAACAAAAGTGGATAATGTTAGAGAAGGAAGAGAAGAGAAAGTGCGAGGATCAGTGATCGGAGCGGATATTTATACGCGTATGAGGTGGAGCTTCGGAGCGGGAGAATAGGAACTCCATGGGTTCCTCAGCTAAGGATCGGCGACCGAGAATCAGAGCTTTCGGCAGGAATCTATGAAGTGTAATGAAATAGTCTATATGATCGGGCGCAGTCTGCCACATTAGCCCCCCCTTCTCAGAAGTGAGTGTAGTTCCCATCAGTCAAGAGCTGCTGTATTAAATAGCGTGGAGCCTGGGGTCCAGGTCAGACAGTCATAATCAACCCATTTCATAAGATATTGTCAGCCGCGGCCGCAGGGCCTTTTATCAAGAATATCTTCAATCTCTCATTCAAGTTCATTATCTTCTCCTATGATTCCTGGTGATTGCCAGTTGAAAGTCAGTTGAGAAGGGAATGAGTCAGTGACAGTGTGATGAAGCAAGCTCATGTGAAACACATTATGAATCTCTGACAGAGTATTAAGACAGTAGTTATGTAAGAAATCTAATCAATAGAGTTAGTTAGTGGCCCTTGGCTACACTCAACTATATAGACTGAAGTTCATAAATACTATTTATAACTCAGCTTGAATACTATTATACATGTAACTTCTATATTTATCTTTCTATTATAAATACTTCTAGTAGCTATTAGTATATATTATATTAAGCTGTAAATATCTGAATAATCATCTATAAGTACTTATTCTTACATTTCAAGCTCTGTTAGTTAGTAATTATCTATTATAACTGAAAGAACTAGAAACTTGTATACTTCAATCTTTGTAAACTCTACTATAGATACTCACAAGCAGTTATTTAAATCATGAATAATTCTTATAAAAGAAGTCTCAGAGAACTTATTAATTACTTATAAAATATTATTCTCTATATCTATAATAAAGAAACTCTTTAAACTTATAAATAAATTAATCTTAGTAAAGAATATTCTTAAGTATCTTTTATAAAATTAAGTTATTTTTCTATAAGAAATACTTACTATCTATAAACACTTTCAAACTGAGTCTCTAGATATAATCTTCAGAGATACTTATAAACTGAAAAAAAACTTTTTTAAGCTGTAATTATTTAAGACTATCTACTGAATTATAATCTATAAAAGCATTTATAAGTTTGTATTTAAAATTAACTCTTAAGTCTAACTATATAATATAAAAGATGAAGAAGCTGTTATCTATATAATAATAAATCTCTACTATATCAAAGTTAAAAATTAACTAAATTATTTAGAAAATAATTATAAGAGATCTTACTAATCTATTCTTAAAATCTATTTAAAGAATAAGTTAAAAAACTCTGTAAATTAAATAGAGAATATCTGAGCTGTAATTATTAATATTAAAAAAAGAGATGAGAAATCTGATAAAGACTACTTACAGTACTTTATAAAATTATAATATAAATTAAGATCTGTGAAAACAGAGCTCTGAAACAAGATTTAAAATAATAATACTTATAAAAAGACTAAATAAAAATATATAGAATAAGCTTATTAAGTGTAAGAGGCCTACGCTGAATAGATCAGTATAATATTTATAGATCTTATATAACAAAGTGAAAAATATTAAAGAAGAAAAGAAAAGAAAAAGTGCAGAAATCAGTGATCAGAGTGAATATTTATACACATATATAGTAATATATACAGTGAAACTTTGAGATGAAAGAATAGAAATTTCATAGGTTTTCAGCTGAGAATTAGTGACTGAGAATCAGAGCTTTGATAGAAATCTGTGAAGTGTAATGAAATAGTCTATATAATTGATCAGACACAGCTAATCACATTAGTTTTCTTTTTCAGAAGTAGTTCTCATCAGTCAAGAGTCACTGTTTCAGATAATACAGAGCTCAGAGTTCAGATCAGATGATTATAGCTAACTTATTTCATAAAATATTATCAGCTGCAGCTGCAGAATCTCTTATTAAGAATATCTTCAATTTCTCACTCAAGCTCATTATCTTTTTCTATGATCTCTGACAGTTATCAGTTAGAAGTCAGTTGAGAAGAAAATGAATCAGTGATAATATAGTGAAGTAGACTTATATAAAATATATTATAAATCTCTGATAGAGTATTAAGACAGTAGTTATAACTATCTAGAACTTCTATCACTATGTATTTTATATAATAATAATTCAATGTACAGAATGAGTATGTAATCTGTATATTTTTAAAATTTAATTATACAAGATCTTCTATCTTATACTACTCTGTAGAATCTTATCAGATATTAACTTAATCTTCTTAATCTTGTTTAGTACTTATCATAGAGACTTCTACTCAGTCACAGATATCTCAGAGCTTTATTACTATATTATTAACAATTTGAATCAGATTGTAGAGATTCAGTGTGAACTGTGTAATCTCTAGAAGATTTAACATCTTTATATAATAATTATATGTAAGAAAGAACAGACTTACATTTATTAAAACAGCATCTCAGTCATTGATAGTGATCTCTGTATATAGAAGAAGATTATATTAATCATTCTGTAAATAATTACAGAACTTATAAAGATAGTTCTTTACAGTCTAAATCATTCATTCTGATGCATTATTAGTCTCAGTGTAAGAAATCCTGCTTCTTGCGGATTCTTTACCCCTATTTCTATCTCTCATGTAATCAATAGGGCTAGCGGCCCTTGGCTACACACAATTATATAGACTGGAGTTCATGAATACTATTCATAACTCAGCTTGAATGCTATTATACATTTGACCTCTACATTTTATCTTTCTACTGCAAATACTTCTAGTAGTTAACAGTATATATCACATCAAGCTGCAAACACCTGAATAATCATCTGTGAGCACTTATTCTTACATTTCAAGCTCAGTCAGTCAGCAACTGCCTGTTATGACTGAAAGAACTAGAAACTTGCATACTCTCATCTCTGTGAACTCTACTACAGACACTCAGAAGCAGTCATCTGAACCATGAATAACCTCTGTGAAAGAAGTCTCAGAGAACTTATCAATCACTCACAGAACATCATTCTCTGCATCTCAGATAGAGAAACTCTTCAAATTCATGAATGAATCAATCTCAGTGAAGAACATTCTTGAGCATCTCTTACAGAATCAAGCTATTTTTCTACAAGAAATGCTTACTGTCTGCAAACATTCTTGAACTGAGTCTCTAGACATGATCTTCAGAGACACCTATGAACTGAAAAGAAACTTTCTTAAGCTGTGATTACTTAAGGCTACTTATCAAATCACAATCTATAAAAGCTTTTGCAAGTTTGTATTTGAAATTGACTCACAAGCTCAGCTGTGTGATATGAAAGATGAAGAAGCTATCATCTATACAATAACAGGTCTCTATTACACTGAAGCTAAGAACTGGCTAAATTATCTAGAGAATGATCATGAGAGATTCTGATAATCTGTTCTCAAGATCTATCTAGAGAATAAGTTGAGAAACTCTGTAAGCTGAACAGAGAACACCTGAGCTGCAATCATTAATATTAGAAAAAGAGATGAGAAATCTGATAAAGACTACTCACAGTGCTTCATGAAATTATGATGTGAATTGAGATCTGTGAAAACAGAGTTCTGAAACAAGACCTGAATAATGATGTTTATAAAGAGACTGAATAAAGATATGCAGAACAAGCTCATTAAATAAGACTCTAAGTTCTTAGCTCTGAAAAAACTGATGACTCTCATTCATTACTTACAGATCACTGTGAGAGTCATAGATCTGCAGAGAGTGAATCACTAACTAGCTCTGTGAGAGCTAGAACAACAGAGAACAGATTTATCAGAAAAAGATAATAAGACACAGAGAGATTCATATCTGACTACTGAGTAGAAAGAGAGAGCTTCATAAGCTTCTGTGAACAGAGTATATAACAGAGAGATTAAGAAAAAGAGACTCTGCTTTATCTATTCTAAATCAGAACATCTCTGTGCAAACTGTCTGAATAAATTAAAATAGAAATTTAAGAAGTTATGAACAGAGTTAGTAACAGCCTTCTTAAGAGCTCTGAAGCTAATACCTGAATCTGTTACTTCTCTGATGAAAATGCTTACTTATAGAGAGAGACTGCACTGCAGTACTACTGCTCTGCAAGCATGAGAAGTATTGATGAACTTAGAATCTCAGGTCACTGTGATGTTTCTAAAGCTTGCAGAGTGAATGAGCTGAAAGATGAAGACTGAGAACCTGCTCTTATAATAAGCAGAGTATGAGAACTCAGATCTGAGAACTGAGAGACTTATAAGAGTCATCTTTGAATTGCAAGATCTCTCTGAAACCTGGAGAAGATTTATAGAAACTGTGATTATCACAGATATTGCAGATGATATGTACTTAAGACTTGTATAACTTCAAAGACACAATCTGCACATAGCTGTTCACAAGTCAGATTTATACTTCTGATCAGTGTTGACAGACTTACTCACAGAGATAGAAGCAGTTAATGCTGCAGAGTTGATTAGAGAAGACAAGTCTATCTATATAATGACTTTATAAGTATCTGAGAATCTCACAGTCATGAAAACTGAGCTTCAGATATCAGAGAAATACTGAGATCTCACAGAGATATTCAGCTTAGTAAAGGCAGCTGAGCTTTCTTCTCACTGTAAGAAGAATCTGATAATAGATTTGATAGAAGAATAGAAACTCTTCTAAGAATCAATCTATAAGCTCTTTTATTATAAGACAGAGGTCTTGCAGATCTATGTGAAGAAGAATCTGAAGAATGACTTTATCTGATCTTCACAGGTCTCTGTGAAAGCCTCTGTGATGTTTGCAAAGAAGAAGAATAAAGATCTCAGATTATGTGTAAACTATCATGATCTGAACTTTAAGATAATAAAGAGTCACTATTCTCTGTCTCTGATTGAGAATGTGATCAACTGTCTTACAGAAGCTGTTATATTCATATAACTGAATGTGATCAATGTATATACACAGCTGTGAATACAGTCTGAGAATGAATGAAAGACTGTCTTTAGAACTGTACTGAGATTGTTTGAATATCTAGTAATATCTTTTAATCTGACTAATATCTCTATAGCATTTCAGTCTTTCATTAATAAAACACTTCATACATATCTGAATATCTTCATAATAATATATCTGAATGATGTGATGATGTACTCTGTGAAGAAGAAAGAACACACTGAGCATGTGTGAAGTGTGTTAAAGATCTTAGATAAGACAGAACTATATATTAAGCTTATAAAGTATAACTTCAGTGTCTGCTGAATTAATTTCCTAGAATATATAATCACTGCAGATAATATTCAGATGAAATCTTCACAGATTGAGACTATTCTATCATGACTGAAGTTAACTAGTATTTACAAGATTCAGATCTTTCTAAGCTTTGTGAATTTCTATAGATGATTTATCTTTATATTTATAAGAATCTTCTTGAC